AAAAAAAAGATAAAAAACAAAAAAAAACTAAAAAACATATATGTACGTATACTTTCAGAAATCCAAATTCATCGTCAACAAATTCTACTTTATTCTACTGTGGATTCGAAACGGAGGAGAGTTCTTGTAAAGTCAGGTTTGAAATATCCAATATTTTATAAATTTTTTGCTTTCGAATGAGTAGAGCTTATTATGGCTGAAATCATAGTTTTGCAAAAATAAACGATATCATTTTTATTTAAAAAGATAAATTATTTAATATAAATACACATTGCACACTTCAAAAATGAAAAAAAACACAAAAAAGGAAAAATATGAGAACAAATAACCTTCAACGCTTGCTCTCGATATCCAATGTGTGCTCCTTTAAATTCTAGGATAAATATGATTGATCTCCCATTTAATATTATACCTGCTGAGTGTGATTACAACAAGGTATCGAGGTGGAGTTGAATTTAAGATTGAGATTATGCTTAATTCTGAGATTAACAATATTAAAAATCTCACTTCAGACCGAAAATTAGCCGATTGCATTTTATTTTATCTAATGTTTGAGATACATTTCTTTAATTGGGAGAAGTTGAATTAGCATGTGGTGAAACCATTTTAACAAATTTTACACTCTCTTAATTAAACTTAGATATTTTTTTGCTTACCTCGGCAAAAAAATTGAATCTTATCCCTCAAAATTATAAAAATATATTTTTTTATTTTTTTATTATATTTTTTATTCTTGTTATTTGTGTGTTTAGAAGCGGGGGCTCGAAGTGGGTGAGATCAGAAAACTTTTTTTCTGGAATCCAAAATCATTATTTTGGAGCTGAACTTAATCCCGGAGATCAAACAGGTTTAACAACTTTACTTTTTTGATATTTTATTTGAGGTTAATTAAAATATTATTTGAATTTTGATCCATCTATGACCTATGTAATAATATTATCAAGTCCTAAATTTGAATCTGAACGAGAGAATCCACAAAACAGAACATGATCATTTTTTAACAAAATTAATAATCTCGGCAAAAGAGAAAAATTGTTGATTTTTATTATTCTTAATTCTTGATTGTGTTTTTAGAATTCTTTTTTGAGAGTTTGATTGCACCACCCCCTGGAGGAATTGCTTGCCTAGACTTCAGATATAAGAAATATTCCACTGGTAAGTTTATAATAATCATAGTTTAATATCAATGCACTAGATGTCGTCTTTTCAAGATTCAAGGGGGTTTTCGTAAACAATAACCCCGAGGCAGAGGCCCAAAGGAGTTGCACGCATGCTGCGTTGATTGACAAGACATCTAAAGAGCATGCGCGTTACTTCTTTGGGCTTCTAAAACCCTAAATGTTGAAAAGACGTATCTAGTGTTCTATCTGTATTGATATTAATCTACGACAATAACATGAATATAAATACATGATTCTATTAATCAACAAAGATAAAGGAAATGGCCGCTAATCTCAAGTTTTAATTATCTTATCCTTATATTTTTTCAACCTGACCTAAAAAATCTAAAGAACGATGCAATCTGCTAAAACAAACTTTGAACTATCGAATGTATATAAAAAATTGAAATATAAAAGCTATGAGTTTGAGGCAAAAAATCCTTTCCTTTGTATTTTAATTATTTCCTTTCTAGTATAGTGATAGGCGAATATATGAAAACAATTAAGACGACTTTTTAATTCAAGTTTTGATTGTTTACAAGTAATCGTAAAGAAACTGATTTAATCCAAAGCATCTCTCTGTTTTCATATTAATGTGTGATGTGCATCCATACTATTTAAAAGCTTTATATGTATCAAAATTGAAATCGAAAGTCGTCTACATCGTATTGGTAAATTCGACTAAGACTCTATCTAAGCTATAATGTAGAATATAGTAGATTGCAATAAAATAGAAATTCAATCCAAATATTCATTTTTTAGCTGATTCAGTTCCTCTAACAGTGATGGCCTGGCCCTTCAAGGGGAAACCAGGGAAAATAAATATTATCAGGGATTCTCCTGATCCTGGGACTTGGATCAGAGCTCAGGTTACATACAGGTATAGAATATTATCAGGGATTCTCCTCATCCTGGGACATGGATCAGAGCTCAGGTTACATACAGGTATACAATATTATCAGGTATTCTCCTGATCATGGGACTTGGATCAGAGCTCAGGTTACATACATGTATACAATATTATCAGGTATTCTCCTGATCCTGGGACTTGAATCAGAGCTCAGGTTACATACAGGTATACAATATTATCAGGGATTCTCCTGATCCTGGGACTTGAATCCGAGCTCAGGTTACATACAGGTATACAATATTATTCCAGATTACCGATGTCTGTGCTGGGCATTTACTTTGATTGGTTTTAATGAAGCCCAGTCTAGCACAGAGTAAATATGTACATTTTTTATATTAATGAGGAGGGGAGGTCCCCATTTCTTGTATGGTTGAGCCCGTAATTAATATAAAAATGTTGTTTAGGAATATAGACAACTATTTCCTTGTGATGCTACGCGGCAAAGGGCCTGCGCAAACACGTGGAAAACTATATCTAGCAGTAGACGATCTTACAGTCAGGGAAGGCCAGTGTGACGACTAAGGTGAAAACAAATTACATAAATAGAAATGTAAAAACAGGCATTAGTGCTTATACCTAAAAATTGTGTGCTTTATCGGCCGGATATTATTTATTATGTTTTATTAGATATGAGAAATTTATTTAAAGGGAGTGTTCGCGAAAAAATGAAAGGGGGTATAGGCTTAACGCGATAAAAAAGCGCTTTTGATCGTTACTAATCTTACTTCTATCTGTTGCGTCTATAAGGAGAAAATTGTTAAAGACGTCTCATACCGAATAACTTAGCGCCCATACAAATTCAGAAAATTGCAACATACGACTTAGACCGTAAAAAATCCATTTAATTTCAAACAAATCATTCAGATATTACAACCTATAGTCATCGATTATCTTTCGCCAAAGGAATTGAGTCTTTGCCACAAACTCTGATTTTCTAATCACTATATCTCTGGAACCAAATGTTGCAGACCTTAAGATATTTCAAACTATGAATTCTGTTAGATCAAATAATCTGAGTTTGAAATTTCAAAGGTTTACACCATCGAATTCTAAAGATATTGAGGTTTAAATATTCGATTTTGTTCCAAAGACTCAATTCCTTTGTATATATAGTTTATATTTAAGGTACTTCTAGACGGACGTCTCAGCCATCATAGTTTTTTTCAACGTTTTCTTTTTCCATCCGGGTTAACTTCTACAAATTGGCAACATATCAGATTTGTTATTTCTATGCAATTAGAGGTTTTTCACATGCTCAGAAAGTTATGGACAACATTTTTTCCAAAGAGGCCCTGGGAACAAATCCACATTTGTTTACTAAATTTAAAGAATTTGAATCGAGCGTCTCAAATTTGAGACGCGGCACAAAGATGGTTTGTTCCACTTGAAATTGCATTCGGTGTTTCGAGATTTAAGACGGCGCTCAATTGGTTTTTGGTTCTTCAGTGACATGGTTTAAATTTCTTTCGGCCTTAGACTATCCAGTAGAAAGTAAGATTATTATGGATAACTGCGGCTTTCAATGTTGATCGTTATAATAAAAATCTGATTAGTGACGTTTGTGAATGATATTTTGATCCCTTTATCTTGGCAATACAATGTATCAGACCTAATTAGATTTTTCAAACTAAATTCTGTTAGATCGGAAAACCTAAGTTTGAAATGTAAAAGGTTTACACCATCAGGTTGCGTAGATATAATTTAAAAAAAAATTTGATTTTGTAGCAAAGTTTCAATTCCTTGAGTTCTGATGCCGAATCTTCATAATTAAAAAATTCTGTTACTATTTTTTGGCCAATTCAAACATAAAATGTATAAATATAAAATATCATTCAAATCTGACTTTAAATTATTTTTAAAACATTGACTGAAACTTTTTCCTAAGGTTTGAGACAGCAGTTCAAACAGATTGCAGACTGTCTTCCAAATAGAATTTGTGACTGTATACATTGTTTCAGTACTCTCTGTTTATGTAAATCCATTCAACGATAAGTTTTAAATATTGTATATTGTTGTACATTTTTGAATTATTTACAATAAAAGTACAACAAAAAAATCAGGAAAATTAGAGAAGAGAATGGTTTTTTACTACATTAGACTGATGAATGGAGATATCTACAGTTTAACACAGAACTTTGGAGACATCAAAATAATTTATAAAATGTCATTTTCTAAACCTACTGATATCAAAATGCTGCAGATATTTAGTTTTTCAATTGAATAATTATATGGAGCTCTTTTAAACTGTTCACAATATGTCAGGGCTATTTATTAATTTTTACAATTACTTAAGGCCAATTTCTTAGTTGTGCTGCCATAGGTACAACCATAGTCAAACTATGGTTAAACTCTACCAGAGCAGTGCAGATAAATAGATACGACCTATAGTTGTACCATTAGTAACACGATTAAGAAATTGGCCATTACTCAGTTCCACCCCACCTTTACTCCTGTAAATATGTCTACATATATCGGCCGCAGTACACTGTACAATCTGTCAGCTGAATCAGCTGAAGTACACCATAAAGTTACTATGGAATTCAGACAAAGGATCTTAGACTTGTATCATTAGTGTTCTCTATCAGGCCTAGATGTTATACTAAACTTGTGGTAAAGGGGAGGTCAGGAGTTTTTCACGATCACTAATTCTTCTGTTCCCTTGTCCAGGGAGTCTCCGTCATCAGGATGGAAGCAATAGAAACTAAAAACACAAACTTGGAGCTAAGTGTTCAATAGGAGCTAAATCAAGAGAAATTATTGGACCCAAGTGTTCAATGGAATCTGAACCTAGAGGAATTGGAGCCAAGTGTTCAATAGGAGCTGAACCTAGAGGAATTGGAGCCAAGTGTTCAATAGGAGCTGAACCTATAGGATTCAAAGCCAAGTGTTCCATAGGAGCTGAACCTAGAGGATTCAAAGCCAAGTGTTCAATAGGAGCTGAACCTAGAGGATTCAAAGCCAAGTGTTCAATAGGAGCTGAACCTAGAGGATTCAAAGCCAAGTGTTCAATAGGAGCTGAACCTAGAGGATTCAAAGCCAAGTGTTCAATAGGAACTGAACCTAGAGGATTCAAAGCCAAGTGTTCAATAGGAGCTGAACCTAGAGGAATTATAGCCAAGTAGTTAACACGACCTTTGTATTCCCATATATGAGAATTGGAGTTAGGGCTCCAGTATAAGCTGGACCTTAGTTAAAACTTTGAAAGTAAATTTCGTGGAAAAAAACCTAGAGACTGCACTCCTTTTAGGAAATATTGTCTATTTAAACAACTAACATCTTATTACTACTTTGAACATTTATCTATTTATTTAAAATCAAGAAATTTTCACGGACATAAACATTGCAATTTTCATTTTTTGCATGGTTTCATGATTAAGATTTCTCTTGTGTGTAGTTTGCATGATTTAAAAGTTCTGGATCAACCGTCCTAGAATAAAAACGTTTAAACCTTTTGGCTACTACAGAGCCAGAAATTTAAGAGAGTAGCCTTGAACGAAACATCCGAGTTTACTTCTTGGGGTCTTTCATTTGTGTAGATTTTAATTAAATAATTAAGAAAACAAAAATTCAACGTAAAAAAACCACTTGAAATCAAATTTCTTAACAAAGATATTGGTATCTACAAAACTTCCCCCCCCATTCATGAAACCGGGTTTCCGATACTTTGTTTTATTACGGTACTCTGTCTTAAGTTTCGGACCCAGGGTTACCTACAAAGGATGAAACTTCAGAGACGATTGTACGGAATATATACTGTCTGATTTCTCATATTCATGATTCCTTTTTTTCAAATTAATTCAAGACTTCATTCAATGCGGAATCCATAATTTAAACTTAGGATCGTCGATTCATCATTGAAGAGTTTCATGTCGTCAATGCAGTATCATCCTTGATCCAAAGATCAATTCCTTTTAAGAAAAACAAATTCCAAAAACATAGAAACAAATATCTGAAAAAAAACATACCTGCTCTAGTTCACTTTATTCTGCATTCTTCACAAAAAAAAGTTTTATATTTTTACATTCAATTATTAAATGTAATGGATCATATTTATTTAATTAATGGCATTACATAAAATTATTTTACCCTGAGAGGGGGCGTCTCCCCCTCCCCCCTTTCCCAAGGAAAAGACATTAAATTAAAGTTACGGATTTGTAAGACCAAATTTACCCTTTATTAACCTTTAGGTGAAAGAGTGTCATGTTTTCATTAAAGTCTCATCTTGTGTGGGTAACCCTGTACTTTTTAAACAGTTTGATCATAGTTTCTTTAATTAATTTAACGGTTAGGCACACTGAGTGATTGTTAGTTTTTAATTACAATATGATCGTTAAGAAATGTAAAAAAAGTAAATCAAAATTTAAGCCGGCGCTCAATTGAAACCTGATTTCGACTCAAATTCATTAAATTCGGACTCTGGGGAAGTTCCTAATAACAACCTAAGACAACCAATAGCAATTAACTTTGAATCTAGTCAATTGTTCATTTTAAAAATCCCTCTATTTCCTTTTTTAACAATTTGTTGAAAAGCAGCTCTTGTGTACGACTTAAATTATGTAAAATTGTACGAAAAATGTTTAAACTCTAAGTGTGAATTTATGCAGTATGCTTGACGATTCAGGCAGTAGGTATTAAATCACCTTCTAATACTGAATTGGGTATTTTATAGTTAGAAAAGTAACCATATGGCATTTTGCCCACCTCCAATGGTTAATTGAACCCTACCCCCCCCCCCCCCCCCCCCCCAACACACTGGAGTTACTGGGGTAAAGAGTTTTATCGTAGATAAATAATTTATCCAAGAGTTTGACCTGTGACAACAGATTTGATATTTTCTCTCCACCCTTACCAGCCAATAAACCCTCCAACAAACTAAAATCAGAATTTTTCAAAAGTACATCATGAAAAGACTTTCAAAAGCGTAATAATTTTGCTAAATTTTACTCAGAAATGCTGTATTTTCCATCAGGATATTTTGCAACTCTTCTCTCAATGATTCTGAAATATTTGAGAAATAGAGAAATTTATTAAATATATATACATTGCTCATCTGTCTGTTTGTATGTATGTATCCAATAAACGCGCGTCCGGGCCCAAATTTTGTGCGAGACCTCACATGACACCAGGGAAGGTTTATCAATGCTCAAAATTACAAAAATTTGTGTCCATTAATGTTGTAACATTTTGAAAATGCTCGAAAAAATTTTTGATTCAAAAACTTTTCTTTTTATATGCATATTGTATATATGTATATAGAGCAGATGCTCACAGATAGAGTCACAATTAAAATAAGATGGGCGCGAAGCGCACTTAAAGCCTGTAGTTAATTAAAAAATGAAGAATTCTCTGACCGCCCAGTTTTACGAGATTTGCACCGCTTTTTAGTTTGTATCCCTCTGTCCTTGATAACTGGTGAGTCTAATAAACTGAAAATAAAGCAAAATAATTATAAAAATAATTTCGAAAAAATTTGCTTTCCAACCTTGAAATGTCAACTCCGTCAGCAGATTCTATCGTTAGTTCAATTGGTTTTTTCCCTTTTGGTCTCTCAACACCAGCATTATCATAATGTTGGGAATTGGGAATATCATAAGGTTTGGAATCGAAATCATCATAATGTTTGGAATTAGAATCATCCGAATTTTGGGAATCGGAATCATCAGAATGTTGGGAATCAGAATCATAAACTTGTTTGGATTCAGAATTATCAGAATGTTGAGAATCAGAATCATCCGAATGTTGGGAATCAGAATCATCCGAATGTTGGGAATCAGAATCATAAACTTGTTGGGAATCAGAATCATCCAAAGATTCGGAATCAGAATTATCAGAATGTTGGGAATCAGAATCATATGAATGTTGGGAATCAGAATCGTAAACTTGTTTGGATTCAGAATTATCAGAATGTTGGGAATCAGAATCGTAAACTTGCTGGGAATCAGAATCATCCGAATGTTGGGAATCAGAATCATAAACTAGTTGGGGATCAGAATCATCAGAATGTTGAGAATCAGAATCATATGAATGTTGGGAATCGGAATCGTAAATTTGTTGGGAATCAGAATCATCTGAATGTTGGGAATCAGAATCATAAACTAGTTGGGAATCAGAATCATCAGAATGTTGGGAATCAGAATCATAATAAGGTTGTTGGGAATCAGAATTGTCAGAATGTTGGGAATCGGAATCATCAGAATGTTGGGAGCCAGAATCATCCAAATATTGGGATTTAGAATCAAAAGAATTTTGGGAACCAGAATCATCTAACTCATCATCAAATTTATCTAAATTTTCCGAATCATTATCAGAATTTTCAGATTTCTTTTCATAATATCCGGCATCATTTTCATGAGAATGTTCGGAAGCAGAATCATCGGAATTTTGGGAATCAGCTTCACCATATTTGTCACTGGGCTCTGAAAACATTTTAAATCCTCAATGAAACTGTTGCACATTAAATACACAACGTGTTTGTTTCAAAAATCTGACCTTATTTGATATTTGTATAATATTTGTAAAATCTAACATATATCTAGATGTTTTTGTAATATCTAAAATATATATTGATATTTGTAATATTATCTAATATATATCTAGTTATTTGTAATATCTAACATATATTTAGATATTTGTAATATAATATCTAACATAAGTCATGGCATTACTAATCAGGGGTCTGCCCTTCCTGTGCTTTCAAAAATACTGAAGATTCTGTTAGATTTCAATTCATTAAAGGGTCTGTAAGCAAAGTTCCAAGTGACCCTCCATACAGAGATAGCAATGCGTTTCTAATTCTGAAAATTCTAATATGTTTTTCTGCAGTTATAGACACGTCACTTTTTGTAGAGAACTCACAATTGAAATATAATTAGTCTTCAAAATTCTAATATTAGTATCTACTTCCTGCATGAATCAGACAAAACATTTAAGGAAAACGCTGTGAATCGGGCATTACATTAGGGTAACTAACTTAAAATTATGCTTACAGTCCTTTAAGTTAAAAACAAAATTGTAAAAACATCCTTTATCTCTTGAATTAAAAACAAAGGGTAGACCACATTCTACAAGTTAAAAATCGTAAAACCTTTGATGCAATTTTCCGGGAAAAAAATCAAAGATCAAGAACCAGCTTTTTATCAAGTTCATTCAATTATCATGTTTAATGGGACACCCTGTAGCCTACCACACAATCCTGGATAATCAGCTGAACATACATGATCTTTGGGACACTCAGAACAAGCCTCTCCTACATTATCATATAATTAATGAGAACAATAATAATGATGATGATGATGATAATAATAGTAATAATAAAATGATAATAATATTAATAATAATAATAATAATAATAATAATAANACAGATAATGAAGTAACTGTAACCATTTCCCTTAACTGCAGTTAGCCCACATCCTACCTATAGTTACAGATAATGAAGTAACTGTAACCATTTCCCTTAACTGCAGTTAGCCCACATCCTACCTATAGTTACAGATAATGAAGTAACTGTAACCATTTCCCTTAACTGCAGTTAGCCCACATCCTACCTATAGTTACAGATAATGAAGTAACTGTAACCATTTCCCTTAACTGCAGTTAGCCCACATCCTACCTATAGTTACAGATAATGAAGTAACTGTAACCATTTCCCTTAACTGCAGTTAGCCCACATCCTACCTATAGTTACAGATAATGAAGTAACTGTAACCATTTCCCTTAACTGCAGTTAGCCCACATCCTACCTATAGTTACAGATAATGAAGTAACTGTAACCATTTCCCTTAACTGCAGTTAGCCCACATCCTACCTATAGTTACAGATAATGAAGTAACTGTAACCATTTCCCTTAACTGCAGTTAGCCCACATCCTACCTATAGTTACAGATAATGAAGTAACTGTAACCATTTCCCTTAACTGCAGTTAGCCCACATCCTACCTATAGTTACAGATAATGAAGTAACTGTAACCATTTCCCTTAACTGCAGTTAGCCCACATCCTACCTATAGTTACAGATAATGAAGTAACTGTAACCATTTCCCTTAACTGCAGTTAGCCCACATCCTACCTATAGTTACAGATAATGAAATAACTGTAACCATTTCCCTTAACTGCAGTTAGCCCACATCCAACCTATAGTTAGAGATAATAAAGTAACTGTAACCATTTCTTTTAACTGCAGTTAGCCCACATGTAACCTATAGTTACAGATTAGGAAATAACTGTAACCATTTAGCATAACGATAATGACTTTATAGCACACCTATATTTAAATTAACCATGAAGTTGACATGAATTATAAAGTAAAAAATAGTTTAATAAAAACATAACTGTAATTAATAAGGTGCTAGGAGGTATGAACAAAGTTTGATCATATAATCCAGGGGCCGAATTTAATGAATTTAAACCATGTCCATCGCGGCGCCAGTTCAAATTTGAACCACTGATTAAAATCACTTCTTAATCTTTAGCTTTGAATCGGTAGTTCAAATTTGAACCGGCTGAGAACTTGAAATTTAAATCCTAATGGAGTTAGTTCACAGTCTTCTATGCTAAGTATTTTAGCGAAGTGTGAAAAATCATTATCATCATTAAGGGGTTTATAATTGCCAGCTTCCCACTTAATCAAATACCTTGCCTGTGTCAGCCTAGACTATCTGAGTATAGTGTCCAACTGAATAGCTATGAAATACCTTGCCTGTGTCAGCCTAGACTATCTGAGCATAGTGTCCAGCTGAATAGCTATGAAATACCTTGCCTGTATCAGCCTAGACTATCTGAGTATAGTGTCCAGCTGAATAGCTATGAAATACCTTGCCTGTGTCAGCCTAGACTATCTGAGCATAGTGTCCAGCTGAATTGCTATAAAATACCTTGCATGCATCAGCCTAGACTATCTGAGTATAGTGTCCCGCTGCATTGCTATAAAATACCTTACATGTATCAGCCCAGACTATCTGAGTATAGTGTCCAGCTGCATTGCTATAAAATACCTTGCATGTATCAGCCCAGACTATCTGAGTGTAGTGTCCTATAAAATACCTTGCATGTATCAGCCCAGACTATCTGAGTGTAGTGTCCAGCTGAATTGCTATAAAATACCTTGCATGTATCAGCCCAGACTATCTGAGTGTAGTGTCCAGCTGCATTGCTATAAAATTGTTCCAACTGAAACAAGTATAAAAATTATTTGCTTTTCTGAAACTGTACACTGGCGCACTTAACAGAGTATTTGCATATTTGTTTCATTATTATTTAGATTTATAATAAATAATCAGATTCACACCTTTTAAACCTTATTGTACAGTATAGTAGTCACCCTCAACTAAACTAAACTAAACAGTGCACTGACCGAGGGTATAGTAGTGTTTAGTGGAGAGTGTGGAAGATATCGTCGCCCTTTTGCTAGTAGTTGCCAGTTTTTTTGACTTTGATAGAAAACCACAATTCAAAGTTTAATTTTTCAGTGACAAAAACATGGATATCTCATTCATTCTTGATCAGACAAAGCTTTAAGGGTACACCGTGGTGAATCGAATATGTCACTCTATAGTTGTGACGAAATGTAAATGAATTTATAATGGTGAAAACCTGGCTTGGGGTTACCAAAGGAATCTCATCAGTCGCCATTCCCTGAATCCTCTGAACCTCTCAATATCAGATATTTTAAAGCAATAACAAAATGGTATGTTCGGGATCAGATAAACTTTCCTTGTCTGGGTGTCTGTTTGCAATTGTCAAATGTTGAAAATACATGATTTTTTTAAAATCCGCGAACCTTGTTTTATTGTTTTGTTTTACAAAGCAGTAGAAAGCAGTTGAGGTGTCAACACCTCCTCTCTCTGAGAGAAAGCATGCAACAGGCTTGCAAATATATTCAGGACTAGGGCCGAAGCCCTTTTTACTGTCAACAAGAATGGGTTCACACCCTTTGCTAATAGTAGATGTCAAAGTCTACTACAGTCAACGAGTACGGGTTCACACCCTTTGCTAATGGTAGATGTCAAAGTCTACTCCACTCAACAAGAATGGGTTCACACCTTTTGCTAATGGTAGATATCAAAGTCTACTACTGTCAACAAGAATGGGTTCACACCCTCTGCTAATGGTGGATGTCAAAGTCTACTAAAGTCAACGAGAATACATTGCTTTTGTTGAATCAATATGTATTCATAAGTTCAATTAATGCATTCCTGAAAATGTTTTGATTATTTGAGTGCTGACTAATTATCTACTTGTAAATGCACAATGAATGTATTCTTAGTTGAGTTTTCAATATTTATACTTTGTTTCAACAAATACGATCAAAACAAAATTATCAAACAATATATTTTTAATTTAATTTAATTTTTAATAATAAATTTTCTTTTGTGTTATATTTTAAGCTGAACCATCATGCAATATTATTTTGTATTTTGTGTTTGAAAATAAATACTATAACTATAAAGACAAAATGCTGAAAATGGAAATGTATTATGAATATAAAGAGATCAATGTTTGATCTCTATCTTTTGTTGATCTTCAGATTAATTTGATCTCAACATGGCATCCATTAAAGAATGTCAACTAGGGCTGCTGAACATAGAATCAGTAAACCATGGAACCAGAGAACAGAGAAATTGCGGATGGAGATTTGTAGATATGGAGATCTGTGGATATGAAGATCTGTGGATATTGACATTTTTTAAATTTTTATCATTCATAAACCTTCCCTGTGATCACGAGATGTCCCACAAAAAAATTGGGCCCGATCGGTTCAGCCGTTTTGGCTGTTTATTGGATACAGACAAACAGACAAGCCAAATTTATATATAATTGGCTTCTTTTAAACTATTGACCTACTATTTTTATTTTACTCAATTCTTTGAAATTGATCGCCAATAAAATTAAAACTTCGACTTGGAATTTGCATTCTAAAACAAGATCGTTGGTCATTTTCGGATTTGTTAATTCTGCAATCCTCAAAAATAAATTACGGAACGATTATGTCAAATAGAACTGATCTTAAAAACGTCGTAATATTTCAATATGTACCACCTACTTTTGTAGAGCTTCTAGGGGATAAATCTGTTCTTTCGTTGGGATTGGTTTAGTCCTTAATTTACAGAGTTATGCATAGTTTTGCATTTTTTATATTGTAAAATTAATTTAATATATATTTATATATACTTTGCTTGCAGTCTTTCTGTCAAAGCGGCTGAACAGCTAGATGGGGCCCTAAAGGACCCCAGAGGGAAGGTTCATGGATATTCAAAATGTCAAAAATAAGCCTCCAACAAAATTCGATATTCATTAAATTGTGGAAATTCACGACATTTTTTTTTAAAAATCTGCGATTTTTTTCTGTTTTTACTTACAAAGAGAAAATGTTCACGATTGAAATAGAAGATTGAAATTGAAAGCCGTGTTATATTCAAAAACCACTTTTTCACTTCAAATTTCTGATTTCCTGATTTCCTGAGCAAAATCAAACTTTTGAGCCACCGAGGCAGCTGAATACAAAGCATTCTGCCCAACTGGGAATCTAGAGTTATCATACAAGGGTGTCCCAATAAATATGGGAATTGAGAAACGACTTGAATATCGTCTTTAATTTCCGATAAATGACATTAAGTGCAACAAAAAATATTGAACTTCTAATGAGCTTTCCAACACGTGGTCTACCTCCTTTGTATCTTTAAAGTTGAGATATTTAACATTTGAATAGTTTTGTTGATTTTTGATTAACTTGAATTTGAACAAATTTCCGTCAATTTTGAAGGTGAAAAAGTGGTTAAAGACCACATTTTAGAAATCCCGAGACCAATCGTTTTCGGTGTTTCGGTGTTTTAACTGTGATACTTTAAAATCATATTTACGAAATAATCCTGCTTGGAACAAAGACGATATAGAAGTCATCATTTAATTCCCATGTTTATTGGGACACCCTGTATCATGAATTAATAAATCAAGAAATATATATTGACTAGGCAATTTGGCAATAAAAGTAACCCTTCAAAAGCTGCCATACCGGGAGCCATAAATGAAAGCAAGAGATTAAATAAATAGATCCTGTACAGTCGGCTCTCAAGAGACTAAATATATAGATCCTGTACAGTCGGCTCTCAAGAGATTAAATAAATAGATCCTGTACAGTCGGCTCTCAAGAGATTAAATAAATAGATCCTGTACAGTCGGCTCTCAAGAGATTAAATATATAGATCCTGTACAGTCGGCTCTCAATAGATTAAATATATAGATCCTGTACAGTCGGCTCCTAAGAGATTAAATAAATAGATCCTGTACAGTCGGCTCTCAAGAGATTAAATATATAGATCCTGTACAGTCGGCTCTCAAGTCTCATCATTAGTGGGTGACCCTGTATGCACGAGGGAGGGGACGCAGAGGCGCCTGGAGCCCCGCAAAAATGACCTCCGAGCCTCCAGATTTTCAGAATGATATCCGGGCCCCGCGAAACCGTCTACGTGCCTCTCGCTACGTCTCCGAGCCTCCACCATTCTGTCTCCACACCCCCATTTTGGTCTCCAATAAAAAATATTTGGCTTTTACATCCACCAAAAATCTTTTTTTCGAAAAATCTCAACATGATAATAAAGTTTAGAATGATACATAGATAATTTGTATTAAAAATTCTATTTTAATTGAGATCTAATGTTTTATTTTTGTTTTTCTAACTTTCACAAATTTCTTAAATTGTGAAGAAATATTGCAGTTTTGTATACAAAGATAGGCAAATTTTATATTATTCTACAGGGATTTCATGCACAAATAAAACAATATCAGTGGCAATTTATAAAACACAGTAGTTTTAGTGAAATCCTTGAATTTGTGCTTTTATTGTAAACTTTAGAAAACATTGAAGAACTATTTTTTAAAAAGTTGAATTTTTTTTTAAATAGTCTTAATATTTATAACATGCAATACTAACATGTACTTAAGTTTTACATACTAATGGTTAAAAAAATGGTTAAATCAGGGGAATTTGGGCAATGTAAATAAAAATTTATACACAAAGTGTGTGTGTGGGGGGGGGGGTTCAAAAACTAGTAAACTATAGGACTGACCATCATTAATTTGCATTTTTAAGATTTAATTTAATGCTAAGGACTTGATATATTTAATACAATCTTCAATTCATGATGTCTTTAAAGATAGAAGTTTATGGCATACCAGCTGTATGTAAACTTTTTACAAATAAACAACTCAAAGATCAATTGAATGAATTAATATTTCAAATTTGTCGATTAAACAATTATTTAAACTATTGCGGAGTCTAATATGAAGAGATATACTTGATTCTTGGTTAGTTATGCCATAAAACGTAAACAAAAGATAAAAACAGCAAGGGGAGATCAAAATGCGGGGCGTGGAGACAAAATGGTGGAGGCTTGGAGATGTAGCGAGAGGCACAAAGACGGTGGTCAATCTGCAAATTTGGAGGCTTGGAGGTCATTTTTGCGGGGCTAATGCAACATAGTAAGTAAGTTAAGGGGATAGAGTGAACAGAAAAGAAGAATATTGGAAAAAATGATTATCTGCATGCAATAATAACAGATATCTATCAATTACTAGTCGCTTAAAAATTGTGATTTGTAAAAATATGAAAATAAAAAATACCAAATTTGTTAACAAATCTAGAGGACCCGGATAAAGGTTTAAAAGATGACCTTGACACAGCTCTGCATTGATTACAGTCGTGAGGTTGGCCAGAATTCAGGGAACACTGATTTGCCCACCTAAACCAAAATGAAAATTACGAGCTGAAGTGGCCGGCGTTGCCCGTGAAATTTTTTAAAAAATTGAGTGTGATTGAGGTCCCTAGTCCAACTTTTCAAGGCCAATAAAATAAAAAATTAGGCCTATATTGGCCTATAATTTTAATGGTTTAGTCAAGAAGGTTAAAAAAAATTAAAAAAGAACGTGGGCAAAATGTAAAAGAATAGTTTTTTTTTTGGACAAATAAGTAAATCTTTAGTTCAAATAACAAACAAGTTTTTTTGATTTTTTTGAGACATCAACCTGTCTTTGACCGTTTACCCTAACTTATGCATAACATTTTTTGTATTTGCAAAATTTGGTTCAAACTCTGAAGTTGGAGAAGTGTAGAAGTATGAGCTCTAGTGTATTTAACAAATTATGCAAAAAAAAAACTACTAAAAAGAAATTACCTAAACTAATTTTTCATAACGATTTACCATTTCATTTGACAAATTGACATGTTTAATATCTTTGGTCAGATTAAAAATGTTGCATAATGTAATAAAAGCAAACACATCGAATTTGGATTCGGATAAAGTTTATAAACCTCTCAAATTATTATGGGTTCTCTTTAATGTTTAAAAGTCTAAATAAAAAAATGACATCAAAACAATAGGTTTAAGACTTGACCGACTTTAAATATCGCAAATTGACTTTTATCTTATTTTACTAACTTACGCTGTTAGGTAAACTATTTTGAAACCCTTACAATGGACACATACATTTTGTTTTTAGATTTAGTTTAATAAGTATTTACCAAAATTATTATAATTTTTTGCGTGAAAGCTTTCAACCTTTGAATCACGCTGGGAAAGGGATAGTTTGACACGCCACCCTCCCCCCCCCTCTTCCTAGTTTTTGTTTTGCACACTCCATAGTCCGTATTGACAGTTTAACCTGGAAATTTTAAGATCTAAAACTTGAAAAGCCCCGTAAATATAAATGCATTATTAAATATCCTAAATGATTATTTGTAAAGAATAAAAATCTCACGCTTTTTTTGACATTTTTAAAACCTCACCAGCACCAAAACTATTGAAGCTAGAGAATTATTTTTTATATAAACTTGCATTTGAAAAATTCGAGTACGAACAGTAAACATATACTGCACTATATATCCATTTTCTATATTTTGTATAAGAAAATGAATTAAAAAATCAATATTTTTTTTTAGTTTTTCAGTTTTACCTCTGCGCAACTTTTGCTAATTCCTCGTCCCACTCCTAAACATAATTGTTCTTTTTCATAAATCAGAGCTTTACATTTTCATTTAAGTACTAACTTGGGAATCAAGTGCTACCCGTGTTACTTACGCCGTTTACCCGCACTTGGTATTAACTTTATACCAACTGACGTCTGGTTTACCCCCCCCCCCCTCCATTTCAATAATCTGAAGAAAAAATGCAAATTTACAAAAATCCAGATAATTATTGCGAAATCTAATTAATTAGCAAAAAGTGTAAAAATACCAAAATTTTACGAAATATGACAAATTATTCCCCTGAAGTCGGAATAGGGTTAAATTACGATTCTAGCTATTTTTCCCCTCTAAAAGTCGACCCACTCGACTTAGAATTTTAAAAACAAAGAAAAAATACTTCTGTGGTTCTCTCCCGTTCCCCAATCAAAAATTTATGCAAATCGGTCAATGGGATTCTGAGTTATGATCGGACATACAAACAAAAAAACAGAGTTTGCTACTTTATTCATATATATATACAGGGTGTCCCACGAAACATGACAGTATGCAGGACGACTTGAATGTCGTCTTGATTTTTTATATAATTTGCTGCGTTTATTTTTCAACCTAATTTTAGAAGTAAATTTCTAGAGATAATAATCACAAAATTTCCCTTGCCCTGCTATTTCCAAAATGTGGTCTGCCTTTTTTGTGCTTCCAATATTGCCCGAGATATGAAGAATTTCGTTCAGATTTCGACAATTTTGCTTTTATTTAACAAAATTGAAATCTGAACCAAACTCTTTATATCTCCAGTAATATTGAAAGCACAAAAAACGCAGACCACTTTTTGGAAATGCCAGGGCTAGGAGAATTATGTGATAGTTGTTTCAAGAATCATACATGTTAAAGTAGATAGAAGACTAAATGTCACAAATAAATTCAAATACCAAAGACGACTTTCAAGTCGTCTTGCTATTGTCATGTTTCGTGGGACACCCTGTATATTTATATATATATATCAATTTTACTTACCATTCGTTTCATATTACTAGCTGGGGGTTGATTACCTTCCTCACCATTTGCTACTTTAGCGCGGATCCTGCAACAACATGTTTATGTTTAACAGGGGCGTATTCAGGATGTTACACGACGAGGAGGGAGGGGGGGGCTTATATATTTTTTATTCCAGCGGAGTTGACTAAGCATTTGTCGGGACCTGGTTAAGATTCAAGGAGGATGTGGGGGGGGGATAGGAATGGATCGTTTTCAGTTTTGAGAATAACGATCGTTTTAGGAAAAGATCGTTTTTAAAATAAATTGTTTTTAGTTTTAGGTCGTCGTTTCATTGATGAAGTTAGGTTGTTTTTGGTTTTTGACGATCTTTAACTATCGCTTACGACCGTTCTTCGTTAGCGACTTGATTTTCAAGAAAACAATCGTATCGTCGTTTCGTTTTCAAAACGAATGGTTCGTTCGTTTAAAAATACTATTAACAACCCTAGTTTGAGGGGGGGGGGCATTTTAAAAACATACTTGTTATGCGTATCAACAATGATCGTAATATCTTCCTCATCAATTCCTTTTGTCTCTATAGTTCCATCACAGCCGGGACCAGTCTCCTATACAAAATAAAAGATCCTTATAAACACTTGAATTAAGTTAGTGTTATTACAGGGTTAACCACAAAGAATGAGACTTGAAAACTTTAGAATTGGAAATCCTTAATCGCGATCGGTTAATTAATCTTGAGATTTTTAACATGAGGAGAACAAGCATTATTTAATCTGGAGATTAAGAAAAAGAGGAGATCAAGCATTGATCACGATATCCACCATTCTACAGTTTTCAGCTCAGATTTCTTATATCTATGATTCCTTGCAACTGCAAATTTGTTTCTTCTTTTGCTAAATCATATAATAAACCATTAAGAGACTTTATCTCTCCTGTATGCCGAGTCCATTAGCGCCTGATCCAATCAGGGTTCAGCCATGTGTTTGATGTCTATTCTGAACCAATAGAAATAGTATGGCGGTAACATCTATATTTCTATATATCTCATTATCCAATCAGAGTTATGAATCCTTCCATCGGCGCTTTCAGTAAATTGAAATATTTACTTCTACTGAAACTATGGTGTTATGTTAGACCTTTAAATCTGTGGAATGGGAAGACGAGACAATTTTATCAATCTTATGTGCATGTTTATAATCATATAGCTATAGTATCACGAGAAGCTTGACAAACTATAGCATATTAAGTGAAATGGATCTGTGTACTAGAGATGTCAACGTTTTGATTTTTCTAGATTTAATTCATTTTTCAAACGTTAGACTTTCAAGCCCCCTTTGGAAACAAAACATTTCTTTACGTTTTGGTCAAAAAAGTTGTAGATACTAGAAAAATAACGTTACATTTCCACTAAACGCTAACGTTGGGGGTATATTCCTCTAACGTTAACGTTTAACGTTAACGTTAGGTATGAGCTCCTATAACGTTAACGTTTAACGTTAACGTTAGGTATGAGCTCCTATAACGTTAACGTTTAACGTTCACGTTATATAGAATATATCCAAACGTTACACATTATTGTAACGTAACGTACAAAAACGTACATTTTTACGTTACGTTACACTATCGTTGACATCTCTACTGTGTACATTACACAATTGTTATGTTTAATATTCATTGGACATTAATAAATCATGGCAATTCAATTCTTCTTGATACTGTCATACTTCGTGGGACACCCAGAACCTTTATTTAAACTTGAGTCTAAAAGACGTGTCTTCTTATTCCACAGGTTTATGGGTCCCACTTTATTCCCTTAAAAATGATACTTGCCGGTAGATTGCAGAGTGTGTGCTGAGGAGTGATTGAACAATATTCCTGCTGTCCCAGTGCTAGAGCTGGTAGAAATAATAAAACCAATAATATTGTAGAATTCAACCCAGTACCGGTTTTAAACCACGTGTTCATTTTCACCCACGCGGCCATTTTGAACCCGTGAGCAGCTGTCAAACTTTCTGGAAAGCAAAACATGGAATATAATACAGTGATAACCAGAAAACTCTGAAATAGGAAGAAGTCTTTTAGACTAAAGTAATGACTTTAGAAACAGGGTGCCCCACAAAGTATGACAGTAAAAAGTCGAATGGAAGGTCGTCTTTGATATTTGAAATGATTTGCGGCATTTATACGTAAACCTAATTTTAAAAATAAAATTCTAAAGCTCATAATTACAAAATAGCCCTAGAGTCTTGGCATTTTCAAAATGTGTTTGCCTTTTTTGTGCTTTCAATATTACCGGAGATATGAAGATTTTTGTTTGATTTCGAATCTGAACAAAATTCATAATATCTCAGGTAATATTGACAACCCAAAAAATGTCGAGGACTAGGAAAATTTTGTAGTTCAAAGAACATGAGACACAGCAATTTTGCAGTGTAAACAGACCCATTTCACTTAATTATTGCTTCAATAAGTGTAAAGTAAAACTGTTAAATTTCCAACAACATCAAATTCACTTAAGTATGGCTGTAAAGTCGTCTTCTTATATTAATTTGAATTTTTTAAATACTAATTCAAATTAAACTTGGGTTTTGTGAAATGTGTACTGTGTGGGGGTAAATATACATATATATATATATACATATGTAAATAATATGTATAACTAGATGAAGGGCCCGGCGTTGCCCGTGGAAAAAAACAATGTTGAAAAAAAAAATTTCAGAAAACAAATTACAAATTTTTTATTCTTTAACCCCCCAGCCATCCATAAGTGTCCACAAAAAATGTCAGCCCAATTGGTCCAGCCGTTTGACCGGATATAGGCAATATATATACATATACGAATGTCTTGCTTTATTATACAGATTTAATATGTGTCCCAAAAGCATGAGAATTTAGAGACGAATTCAAAATCGTCTTTGTTCAGAATTAATTTTTCAAAGTTTCAACGCTTAAAATAAAGTTAAATTCACTAATAGAGTATATTTTATGTAAACAACAAAACAAATACAAACAAATTCTTTACTCTGTAATGACGAAATAAAAAAAACGTCTACAAAGACGATATCAAAATCGTCACTAAATTTTGAGACACCCTAAATGTAATGTGAAACACTTTTTTATTCAAAAGCTCTTCAATCATTTCCCCATCCCTCATTATCACTTACATCATCCTTCTTCCTATAATAAAATTTACATCACCCCCCCTTCCTTTTTATTATCCACAGAGTAATGGATAATTACAAACCCAACCTACAAATAGTTACACGACCCCCCTTCCTTTATTGTAACTTTTATCACCCCCACCCCCTTCCCTCATCACCAATAAAAATGTTGATATTTTTTACCAAAAATGTTTAGTAAAATTGATTAAAAATATATAATGAATTTTAACAGAGATTTTATACTTGATTAATTATACAAGTTATACAGAACCAATAACTATAAAATACTGAAACTAAAATAGTGAATTCGCCTTTTCCAGAATAAAAAAACTTTTTATTTTAATACATACATTTTCCTTTTCCCTTCCTTTGAATAAAGTTAAAATATCTTGAATAATAGATTTAGTTTTTGAATCAGATGAAAGAGGGGAAATAATTTAACTAATTTTCAAGGAAATAATATTTTTCAACTGTTGGATCAGATTTCATATTTAAAATAATTACTTCTTCAATTATGAAGTAATAATTTAAAAATATCTACTCTGTCTTATATATTGGCAAAGTTTATTGAAAACTCTGAAATATTAAGTCGACTTTTAAAATAAAGTTATGAGTTTAAATAGTCGAATAAGCATGATACACAGCAATTGTCATGGTGTAAACAGACCTATTTCACTTAAGAAGTAATATAATAACTTACTATTATAGGTATTTGCTTTGTAGCAACGTAAAATGTACTTCTGAATTGTTTTAATGTCGTCTTCCTATTCTATGGTTTTTTTCTTATATATTCAAATATTTGGCTTGTCTGGGTGGCTGACTGTTGGTTTGATTAATTTCTTTGGCCTCCAATACATGGTAGAACGGCTGAACTGATCGCTCCCATTTTTGTTGAAGAGGGAGGGGGGATGGACACCAAATAGCCCAAATCATATAGGGTTAATAATATTTTAATAAATTATTTAATCTATTCATATTTTATTGAACGAACTGAAAGTTTGTACAGTATACTATTTATTTCTGTGTTGTTCCAAATCTTGAGAATAATCTGAAATTTTAAATTTAAATTCTATTTTTTTGTCAATCTTTCATGTAAATTATGCTGATGAAAAAATATTTAGAAAAGGGAAAATTTAAGGATTAAGATTAGGACTGGGAATATTTTAACATAACACATTACTCACAGTACATTTGGGAAATATTCTACATGTGGCACTATAGAGAATGTGCTATGAGTGTTCTATGTGTACTAAAGAGAAAGTACTAGAGTGTACTATGCGTATTAAAGAGAAGGTACAAGTGTGTACAACGTGTACTGAAGAGAAAGAACTAGACTGTACTATTTGTACAAAAGAGAAGGTACTAGAGTGTACAGCGTGTACTGAAGAGAAGTTAGTAGCGTGTACTATGCGTAGCGTACTATAGAACAGGTACTAGAGTGTACAATGTGTAGTACCATGGTACTATAGAGAAAGTACTAGAGTTTACTGTTTGTAAAACAAAGAAGGTACTAGAGTGTACTACGCGTACTAAAGAGAAAGTACTAGAGTGTAGTATGTGTAATGAAGAGAAGGTACTAGAGTGTACATATTTATTACTGAAGAGAAAGTACTAGAGTGTACTATGTGTAATAAAGAGAAGGTACTAGAGTGTACTATGTGTACTGTAGAGAAGGTATTAGAGTGTAATATGTGTACTAAAGAGAAGGTACTAGAGTGTATTATGAGTACTATGAAAAAGATACTAGAGTGTACTATGTCTACTGAAGAGAAAGTACTTGAGTGAACTATGTGAACTAAAGAGAAGGTACTATAAGTGTATTATTTGTACTAAATAGAAGGTACTAGAGTGTACTTTGTGTACTAAAAAGATTATAAAAGCATAATACCTTTTTCCTAAACTGTCCCAAAATGTTTCTTAAAAATCTCCATCAATGAACTAAATAACATACATCAATATACATTGATCTAAATTTTAAATATTACAATATTAAAGGGACTTTAATTATAAAGGATAATCTGCAAAAGAAGAGTGGAAAGTCTCTTTAACGATCTAAAATTCATCAAAAACCAATATTTCTCAGGAAAATTTGAAGTTTTGATAGATTTCTAACAACACAGATAAAACACTAGATTTCGTCTTTCCAAGATTTACGGGTTTTTCAATCACAAAAAATCTGAGGTATATAAGCCCAAAGAAGTTCCGCGCATGCAGCGTTGAATTAAAAGACAGATACATAGCATGCACTACCTGCGCGGAACTCCTTTGGGCTCTGCCTTAGGGTTATTGTGAACGAAACGCCTTAAATCTTGAAAAGACAACATTTAGCTATTTGTAATCTGTATAGTATATAAAAGATTTATGTAACAATTACTTGCTGGATTGGAATGGTTGAATCTTCCTTGTGTCGAAATCACCGGCGGTTTGAATTGTCGGGGAATGATTTATTCTAAAAATGTTTTTTTTTAAATTGATTACTTTTCTTTCATATACTCTTATTACAAAATCCTCATATCTTGGCAACCTGATGTTGTATTGTGCTTTTCAATGTCAAATCTTAAACTATCAGGTTTGAAAAATTATGTAAATAAAAATAATATGAAATATGAGATATCAGTTCCTTCTGATCCTAAATGATCTGATGCTCTTAATCCCATTTGAGATAAATGTATTTTGTATCACTTACAATCACATGGTGCATATGTCAAAATAGTTAATAGGAGTACTGCAGCTGGACAGATAAAGGTCCAGGGGCCATTTTCATGTTACAATTATACTCGAAAACAAAGTACAAGTACGTGACAAGTGTCTAAACTAGTTTTAAAAAGTGAAATTAAGCCAAACTTAATTTTAGCCAACGTATTATAGGATAAGGGCTGGCCAGTATTCCGGTAACGAAACGGAGGTTTTAGAAATTAACGATCGGTAAAAACCTGTCATTTTCAAATCGTTAACAACAAAGGATTAGCCGTTTTTGAAAAAAAATAAAAGTTGAAAACGAAAACGAAACGGTTTAAAGGTGAATTTATTTTTTTTCTGCTTAAAATTGCATTAAACCTTAAAAAAAAATATTTGTTGTGTGTTTTGATTGCGATTTTTTTTGGCGCCGTTAACGCCGTTAATACTGTATTATACCGTTAACGGCTGTGCCGTTAACGATTTCATTAGCTGTTAACGATTTTTTTCCGTTATTAATTCTGTAATAAGTGTTGAAAATTTTCCGTTAGTGTCGTTAATAAAATTGAGATTGTTAACTAATGGTAACTTTAAAAAAACCATTAATCGTTCTAATCCTGTGAAACTAACAGCTACCTTAGATTTGATTTAAAAAAACTAACCGTTGACGAAACGTCTTGAAAAGGTTGGAACGTGCCTAGCCCTAACGCTGATCCTGATTAAAACATGATGAATAACAATACTTACAAATTATCATCTTCTCCCTTTGTTCTGATCGGGGTATTAAAGAAACTGAAATTAAACTTTTTGGTTAAAGAACAATCTTTTTTGACTATTGGAAAATTAATAATACCTATTTATCTGTGAAACGAGATTGCCATCAATTTTTTTCTTACGAGTTGTTTTCGGTTGAGTCCTAAAGCCATCTTCTGCTGCTGAGACTCCCACTTGTCTTGATGTCTGATGTCGTTGTTGCTGAGGTTGCTGCTGCTGCTGCCGTTGTTGTTGTTGTTGTTGTTGTTGTTGTTGTTGTTGTTGTTGTTGTTGTTGTTGTCGTTGTTGTTGATATTGTTGCAGTTGTAGTTGGTGTTGTCGTTGATGTTCTTGTTTTGTTGTTGTTGTTGTTGTTGTTGTTGTTGTTGTTGTCGTTGTTGTTGATATTGTTGCAGTTGTAGTTGGTGTTGTCGTTGATGTTCTTGTTTCTGGCGATGCAATCGTAGTTGTTGTTGTTGTTGTTGTTGTTGTTGCTGTTGTGGTTGTTGTTGTTGTTGTTGTTGTAGTTGTTGATGTTGTTGCTGTGGTTGTTGTTGTTGTATTTGACGTTCTTGCTGTGGTCGTTGTTGTTGTTGTCGTTGACTTAAAGAGGGATTAGAAGGGGTTTGTTGAGAAACACGAGGTTGAGTTTGACTTGATGCTGCTCCACTTGGTTCTAACAATATTATAAAAGTTTATGATTTATAGATTCAGATAAAAATAAGACAATGCTGACCACAAAGTCCTGGATAGTCAGAAGAGCAGTATTCTCCCTCATCACATTGAGAGCATGCCTCACCTGGAAAAGTATGATATTTTTGAATTATGTTAAGGGACTGTAATCGTAATTTCAAGTGACCCTCTATACAAGGATGGCATTGCCCGATTTTCAATATACCCTTGAAACCTTATTCTGATAACAAATGTGGAAGATCCAAAAAGTGTTTCATATCATCCAGACAGAACAAACACTAGGCTGAGAGAATATCAGAAATATGAAAAAAGCGCTTTTGATCGCTACTAATCTTACTTCTATCTGTTGCGTCTAAAAGGAGAAAATTGTTAAAGACGTCTCATACCGAAGAACGTAACGCCCATACAAATTAAGAAAGTTGCAACATACTACTTAGACCGTAAAAAATCAATTTAATTTCAAACAAATCATTCAGATATTACAACCTATAGTCATCGATTATCTTTCGCCACATTTGTATATATAGTTTATATTTTATAATATTTTTTAACTAATTTGTTTTGAATTTGATTATTTCTCTTTTTGGCTTGCGCAACTATCTAAGAATGCCGCGCACCACTGACAGGTGGATTCTCATTTGAACTACTGCCGTTTGAACTATGGTACGTTTGAACTATTGTTCGTTTGAACTATTGTTCATTTGAACTACTGACATGACGTCATATCCTGTAGTTTAAATCAACGCATTTCTTGCTCATTTGAACTATTTTTCTACCCCAATTCAGTTTTAAAATTTTTTTTATAATCTTCATAAAGTTATATTCATGACAATTAATTAGATAAACATTACACAGAATAAACATAAAAATAGTTTAAATGAACATAAAAATAGTTCAAATGAAATAGTTCAAATGAACATAAAAATAGTTCAAATTAACATGAAAATAGTTCAAATGAAATAGTTCAAATGAAAAAAAAATAGTTCAAATGAAAAAAAATAGTCTAAATGGACTAAAAAATAGTTCAAATGAACAAAAAAATAGGTTAGGTTAGGTTAGGTTAGGTAAAAAATAGTTCAAATTAAACTATTTTTTGTTCATTTGAACTATTTTTTTGTTCATTTGAACTATTTTTTTTGTCCATTTGAACTATTTTTTGTTTATTTCATTAATAATATTTTAATAGTTCAAATGAAAATAGTTCAAATGAACTAAAAAATAGTTCAAATGAGCAATATATTTACTCGTTTGAACTATTGTTCATTTAAACTACTCACGTGGTCCCACGTGCAGTAGTTGAAATGAACAATAGTTCAAATGAACAATAGTTCAAACGGCAGTAGTCCAAATGAGAAAGCATCCCACTGACATTTTTCGAAATCCGTTGAAAACGTTTCCTAAAAAAATAAAATATAGAAAAACTAATTAAAAAATATTATAAAATATAAACTATATACAAATATGGCGAAAGATAATCGATGACTATAGGTTGTAATATCTGAATGATTTGTTTGAAATTAAATTGATTTTTTACGGTCTAAGTCGTATGTTGCAATTTTCTCAATTTGTATGGGCGTTACGTTCTTCGTTATGAGACGTCTTTAACAATTTTCTCCTTATAGACGCAACAGGTAAGATTAGTAGCGATCAAAAGCGCTTTTGTATCGCATTAAGCCTATACCCCCTTTCATTTTTCACGAACACTCCCTTAAAGGCATTAACGTTTAACAGACTCTTTCGTTTATTTTCGAAAACCTCTGTTTTGTTAACGTAACTTTGCCCAGCCCTAGTCTTTGTCTTTGCTGCACATCTTCGCAAGTCAAATTTACAGAGAAGCTAATTAATTTTAGTTAGAAAAATAAGGATGTACTACAGTTCATAAGGAGTACCTTGAAATATAGTCTCTAGTCCCTTAAAGTATTAATTTTACTTGATACTGACCTTGCTTGTATACTTCCTGAGATATCATATTCCCAGCTGGTCCGTAGTTACACACAAACACAATATCATCCACATTGTACTGGATGATTCCACACCCAACCTACAAATAGTTACAAGCTATCCACAGTGTACTTGATAATTACACACCCAACCTACAAATAGTTACAAGCAAATACAATAGTATCCACAGTATGATGGATAATTCCACAGTTAACATACAAAAAGTTACGCGCAAATACAATATTATCGAATGATATATACTTTGGAGAAAAAAAATCAGCGGGAGAGATCTAGCCTAGATTCTACGCAGTTCAGAATAAGAAATACGCCTTTTTTTCTCAAATTTGAAATTTGTTCAATCAATAAATTTTTTCATTCATATTTTTATTCACTTTTAAAACTTTTTTAGTAGTTAAATACAATTTTTTGCTTTCAACCGCTGGGTTAAAGATTTTTCAGCAGCTTTTTTCCTTTTAACTCCTTGCACTGGGTTTCTTTTAATCACCATGAAAAATAATTTTTCATGAAAGACGTTTTCTTTCCACCACTGGCTTTAAAATTTTTTGGCAATTTTTTTGCTTTCAACCGCTAGGTTCAGGATTTTTCAGAAACTTTTTTGCTTTAAACCTCTGGGATGCTTTTTTACGCTGGGAAACAGTTTTTAATGAAAAACGTTTTCTTTTAAAAACCGGTTCTAAGATTTTTCAGCACCTTTTTTCTTTCAACCGCTGGTTTTAACATTTTTTAAACAACTTTTTTTCTTTCAACCGCTGGGTTGAAGATTTTTCAGCAACTTTTTTGATTTCAACCACTGGGTTGCTTTAACCACTGGAAAACAGTTTTTCATAAAAAATGTTTTCTTTTCACAACTGGTTTTAAGATTTTTTAACAACTTTTTTGCTTTCAACTACTGGGTTGAAGATTTTTCAGCAACTTTTTTTCTTTCAAACGCTGGGTTGCTTTAACCACTAGAAAACAGCGTTCCATAAAAAATGTTTTCTTTTAACAACTGGTTTTAAGATTTTTTGCTTTCAACCATTGGTTTTAAGATTTTTCAGCAACTTTTTTGCTTGCAACCGCTGGAAAACAGTTTTTCAAAAAAAATGTTTTCTTTTAACAACTAGTTTTAAAATTTTTTAAACAACTTTTTTTCTTTCAACCGCTGGGTTTAAGATTTTTCATCAACTTTTCAACCACTGGGTTGCTTTAGCCACTGGAAAACAGTCTTTCATAAATTTTTTATCTTTCAACTACTGGTTTTAAGATTTTTCATCAACTTTTTTGCTTTCAACCGCTGGGTTGCTTTAACCACTGGAAAACAGATTTCATAAAAAATGTTTTCTTTTAACAACTGGTTTTAAGATTTTTCAGCAACTTTTTGCTTTCAACCGCTGGGTTGCTCTAACCACTGGAAAACAGATTTCATAAAAAATGTTTTCTTTTAACAACTGGTTTTAAGATTTTTTGCTTTCAACCACTGGGTTGAAGATTTTTCAGCAACTTTTTTGCTTGCAACCGCTGGACAACAGTTTTTCATAAAAAATATTTTCTTTTCATTTGTTTGTTATTATGTAATTTGAACTCAATTGAACATAAAATAAAAATGTTTAAAAGTCTACTGAAAACCGAGTTTCTAGTGGTTAAGAAAAGTCAGTTAATTTTGTAAAACATGGATTCCCAGCGTTTGAATATAAAAATTGTTAAAAAAATTTATTTAGAAATATGAAACACAGCTAAGAGAAACTTTTCCGGTGGCTGAAAGCAATAAAGTTGCTGATAAAACTTTAAAAAACCGCAGTTGAAAGCCTAAAAGTTATTTAAATCTTGAAACACAGTGGTCAGAGAAAAAGTTTTTCATCACAAACTTTCATTGGGTGATAGCAAAAAGTTTTTGAAAATTTGAAACCAGCGGTTAAGAACAAAAAGAGTTTCTTAAAAAACATTTTAAAAGTGGTTGAAAGCAAAAAAAAATTTAAACCAGTGGTTCAAACGTTTTCCATGATATACCGTTTTCCAGTGGTAGAAAGCAAAAAGTCGTTCAATATCTTACCCATTGGTTAAAAAGCAATAAGTTGTTCAAAAAGTTTTTACCCAGTGGTCAAACGTAAAAATGTTTTTCAAGAAAATTTTATCAGTAGTTCAAAGCAAAATGTTCAAACCAGCGGTTAAAAGCAATAAAGTTACAAAAAAATCTTTAAACGAGTGGTTGAAAGCAAAAAAATATTTAATATCTTTAAGACAGCGGTTAAGAGCAAAAAAATTTACATGAACAATTATTTCTCTGCGGTTGAAATCCAAAAGTTGTCGAAAATTGTAAACCCAGCGGTTCAAAGAAAAAAGTTGTTGAAAAATTTGTAAACAAATATTTTCTGAAAAAATCTGAAAATAAGCAATTGAAAGCACTAAAAAATCTGAAAATCAGCGGTTAAAAGCAAAAAAGTTTCTGAAAAATTTGAAAACGGTTGTAAGCAAAAATTTGTTGAAAAATCTTGAAACCAGCGGTTGAAAGTGAAAAAGTTGCTGAAATATCTAAAACGGTTGTAAGTAAAAAAGTTGCTGAAAAATTTTAAAATCAGCGGTTGAAAGTTAAAAAGTTGGTGAAAAATCTTTAAACCAGCGGTTGAAAGCAAAAAGGTTGCTGAAATATTTGAAAACGGTTGTAAGCAAAAAGTAGCTGAAAAATCTGAAAACAGTTGAAAGTAAAAAAGTTCTGAAAAATCAGAAAACCAGTGGTTGAAAGCAAAAAAATTGCTAAAAATCTAAAAACGTTATTCATGAAAAATTATATTTCATTTGTTGAAAAAGTGGGATTTAGCGGTTGAACAAATTGTAAATTTCTTCTTAATTTCTTATTCTGAACTGCGTAGAGTCTAGGCTGAGTATGTAGCATTCAATATTATCCACAGAGTACTGGATAATTCCACACCCAACCTACAAATAGTTACACGAAAATACAATATTATCCACAGAGTAATGGATAATTACAAACCCAACCTACAAATAGTTACACGAAAATACAATATTATCCACAGATGGATAATTACAAACCCAACCTACAAATAGTTACACGAAAATACAATAGTATCCACATTGTACTGGATCATTCCACACCCAACCTACAAATAGTTACACGAAAATACAATATTATCCACAGTGTACTGGATAATTCCAAACCAAACCTACAAATAGTTACAATCAAATATAATATTATCCACTGTGTACTGGATAATTACACACCAACCTACAAATAGTTACACGAAAATACTATATTATCCACAGAGTACTGGATAATTACACATCCAACCTACAAATAGTTACACGAAAATACAATATTATCCACATTGTACTGGATCATTCCACACCCAACCTACAAATAGTTACAAGCAAATATAATATTATCCACAGTGTACTGGATAATTACACACCAACCTACAAATAGTTACACGAAAATACAATATTATCCACATTGTACTGGATCATTCCACACCCAACCTACAAATAGTTACACGAAAATACTATATTATCCACAGAGTACTAGATAATTACACACCCAACTTACAAATAGTTACACGAAAATACAATATTATCCACAGTGTACTGGATAATTACAAACCCAACCTACAAATAGTTACACGAAAATACAATATTATCCACAGTGTACTAGATAATTCCAAACCCAACCTACAAATAGTTACAGGCAAATATAATATTATCCACAGTGTACTGGATAATTACAAACCAACCTACAAATAGTTACACGAAAATACAATATTATCCACATTGAACTGGATCATTCCACACCCAATCTACAAATAGTTACACGAAAATACGATATTATCCACAGTGTACTGGATAATTCCAAACCCAACCTACAAATAGTTACAAGCAAATATAATATTATCCACAGTGTACTGGATAATTGCACACCAACCTACAAATAGTTACACGAAAATACTATATTATCCACAGAGTACTGGATAATTACACACCCAACCTACAAATAGTTACAAGCAAATATAATTTTATACACAGAGTACTGGATAATTACACACCCAACTTACAAATATCAAATCAAATCCAATATATATTACTCGAAGATGATGAAAATTAACAATTTAATAATTACATTCAAAATATATTCCGCGCGAGGGAAGAAGTGTTTATTTGGCCAGATTTTCTTTCCCTGTTTGAAGCTCCTTGTCGCACGGGAGGAGGGGGGGGGATTTGGACGAATGAATGTGTGTAGAAATTCTAGGACGGAGAATAGAGAATAAAAGTACACATGATATTGCAAGAAGTTAAGACAAGTATTACTTGGTTCATGACATTAACAACAAATATCATATAAAACAAGGAATATAAACAAGAGTCAAATGTTTGTAAGAAAGTGTGAATCATGTATATTATTCTGTATTTAAAATGTAAAAACATATATGAGAAAATACATAACATCTAAGATAAAATGTCTATAATTTTAAAATCTATAAAACAAATTAAAAAATACAAAATGGTATTATTGCAATACCATTTAATCTTATAAAAAATGAATAAAGAACAAATAATTAATTAGTTTATAGATTGTAAAATATATGTAAAAAATACCTTGTTTGATTCAGCCCACGCGATCTGTGTGTAGTGACCTACAGTTGGCTGGCTTGAATAGTACGAGCTGAGCTAGATAATTAAACAAAGCAATAAAAAATATCTGTTAAACAAATGTCACAAAGATCCAGACTGCTGTACAAAGCAAAATTGCATCCATTTTAAAAAATGGGTAAAATTCACAGTGTCACAACACCTTGACCTCTGATTTTACCTTTCTAACTTACTGATACTTTTTCTAACTTTAGTCATGTATGTACATTTTAGAGCTAGCCTTGTGTTTAGCCTGAGTTTTTAAGAAGAAGAAAAATTCTCATCGATTTTTGAGTTAGAGCTTGCAACCTTTTGAGCACTGTGGTTAGTGTACAAGAGGTGCAGACACTTTTTACACTTTTTATTAACAGAGTTTTAGAGATGTAATTTTTTTTTACACATTGGCAAAATTTTGTTATCTTAAAAAGTTTTGTTCTGCTGGGTTAAGTTGGCTAAACTATGAAAACTTGAAAAATGAAATTAACGGGACCAAGTCCTAAGAATTTCTCAGGAATTTCCGGAGAAGTATTTATGAGAGATTCTTCGGAATTTCTTGAGAAAAATCCCATATTGTTAATAAGGTACAACGTACTTTAGTTTTACAGAATATTATATTACCCGATATTTATTACAACCCTATACCCAGAACCCACACTACAAAATTTCACCTGCTGTCTTTGAACATATGGAACCTCATTTGAATACCATACTTGGTCAATCAGCTAGAATTCAGTTCAATCAGATAAAAAATCATTTACAAACTTTTTTGCGTCACATGTTGGCTTGCTAGGGAAAGGCATATTTACTGTATATGTGATATATTTTTATTGTAATTTTGCATAGCAAACAAATTATAGAAATTGATTCTGAAAGAAAACGATTTAGAAAAACATGGCATTTATTTGGCATGTACAAAAGAATAAAACGGCTTAGACTCACGTTTTTCAGAATAATAACTGAAGTTTTAGGTATATTCCTAGAGAACGATTTTGGACCCCCCCCCCCGAGCCCCCATCATCCTATCAATTTTTCTTAAATGTAAGACATGTGGCCGCAGCGCTCGGCCCCTTAGCCTGTCCTAGCCGCAGCGCTCGGCCCAGAAAGTGTGGTAACTAACATAACCCGTGGCCGCAGCGCTCGGCCCCCTGGCCCATCCTAGCCGTAGCGCTCGGCCCAGAAAGTGTCATAACCTAACCTAACCATAAATAATGCTAAATAAAAACTAATTTGGTCATGTACAAAATTGATAGAAGGGGGGGGGTCCAAAAATCGTTCACTAGGACAGACCCAAGTTTAGTACTATTTTCTCTATAATCATTGCTACAAAATACCCATTCTCGGTGAAGTGTTTTTAAAGCTTAAACTTGAATACATTCTATCGAATTTCCTTTTCTAACTCTTCTCCCAGATTTTCGTTTATCTCAAAATTGTGCTTAGCAATATTTTGGCCGAATTTAAACCTGAAAAAAATGTAGAATGTACAGAAAAACAAAATTGTAAAAACTAATAAAATTTCACATTTTATGTGTACACAATTAACATAAAAAAGCGGGGAACATTAAGAATTTTCAGAAACCTTTCTAAATTATTTTCACAAACCTGGAAACCACTCTGCATTCTGAACAGTCATGTTCATATAAACACTGGTTTGCTAATCTAAATTATATAATTACAAAAAGTCAGATTCAAATTCGCATCTTAAAAGTAAATACTGCAAGTTGATCTTCATGACAGAAAAATATCTTAAGAAATAAAGATTTTCTTTAAAAGTTTTTAGGTAGCAACATTTTTAAATTATCTTTTTTATCTAACTAAGGAACTATATATTTCTTGTATATAGCAATCTTTTTTAAAGATTATAATATTTTTCCTTTCTTGTGACTTAAAAATTGATGTTTTAAATTTTGATGGTACACATTTATTATTTGAAAAAAAAAAAAATTTTTAATTGGAAATATGCACCTTTTTGTATGGTTTGGACCAAGATGAACAGCAAATTGTAAAAATGTTGTTAAAGAAAAATATTCACCCTTGTGCTTTATTTTCTAATTCATTATCCCATTCCTAAACAAAAAAAAAACACAAATAAGCGTTCAAAGACTAGAATATCTGAATTCTAAAACGTGTTACTATTTCATACTAACAGTTTTGTATAATTTGAAAATGCGTGAAAAATATTTTGAAATCCGCAAATAATTTTTTTTATACTGTACAAAGAGAAGATGCTCACAGATAAAGCCACAATTAAAAGTTGAAAAAGAATTTGGGCGCGAAGCGCCCTAAAAGCCAAGTTTTTTAAAAATAGCTTGTTCTAAAATGATAACCAAATAACTGTAGAATCGGAAGACGACATTCAAGTAATACTGAAGTGAATTTGATGTTATTACAAAGCAATAGGTTTACAAGTAAGTAGTTGAATCATTTTACAGGGAAATGGTTCTGTTTACACTGCAAAATTACTGTGCCTCATGTTCATTGAACTCTTTAATGTCACAGTATGAGCTGCTATAGAGGTCGAATTCCAATTCCGGATTTTTCTTGTTTTTAGTTTTTACTTTTATTGTTTTGAATAATTCTTTTTCTGTAGAACTGTAGGGGAAAAAAATATTGAAATTAATTTCCTAACCCGAGTTTTTCTGTCGGCGAGAGGAAAAAACCTTTTTTGCCAATAAGGACATTTTACACTGACTTAATATCGTGTTACCATTCTCTTCATATTGCTGCCTGGGGGTTGAGATCCAGTCGTTTCTCTCCCCAGAGCAACCTTGGATCTATACCTAGAGTTTACAGTTTTACAGTTTTAGCAAAAGATTTTTCTCTGTAAAATCAATATTTTTGTGTGGCCCTTTCCAAATTTCATTTAGGTTAATTAACCTGAGATAGAATTTGAATAATTTGAGCTGCGTCGCTGAACAACATACAGTCGAGCCGGTTCAAATTTGAACTACCAATTTAAAATTAAAGATTAAGGAAGGAATTGAATATCGCTGATAAAGTCAGTTCATATTCATAAAATTCGGTTAATGTCCTGAGAAAGATTACAAACAATTGGAAAATAGATTTTTTATGAAAAAAAGTGTGCAGCCTTTACGATTTCATTGACATAAGACTGATATAAAATGGGCATCATAAATAGTATTAAAAGTAGAGTGTGATTAATATGTCAACGTATCTATAAACATATTTCTGTATACTGTACATTGTCCTGAAAAGGAATTGAGTTTTTACCACAAACTCGAATTCTCTAATATCTGTATCTTTGCAACATGATGATGTAAACCTTTGATATGTCAAACTTAGAATATTTTTAAAATGACATTGGGTTTAAAAAAAAGGAATTACAAATCTGAGGTTGTTGTTAAATCACACTTCCTTTCTCTGTGAGCTGTTCATGTTCATTGTTCAAATTTCTTTGTACTGTAAAATACAGGGTGTCCCACAAAACATGCCAGTAGCAAGACGACTTGAAATTTGTCTTAGATCTTTGAATTCATTTGTGACATTCAGTCAGTCGTCAACATACTTTAACATGTATTGAAACAATAACCACAAAATTCTCCTAGTTCTGGGATTTCCAAAATGTGGTCTGCCTTTTTGTGCTTTAATATTACACGAGACATTAAAGTATAATGTATAAAGTATAAAGTATAAAGTTTAAAGTATAATGTATAAAGTATAAAGTATAAAGTATAAAGTATAAAGTAGAAGGCATAAAGTACAAAGTATAAAGTATAACGTATAAAGAATAAAGAATAAAGTATAAAGTATAAAGTATAAAGTATAAATTATAAAGTATAAAGTATAAAGTTATAAAGTATAAAGTATAAAGTATAAAGTATAAAGTATAATGTATAAAGTATAAAGTATAAAGTATAAAGTATAAAGTATAAAGTAGAAGGCATAAAGTATAAAGTATAAAGTATAAAGTATATAGTTTCAGAAGTGTCCTTGTATGTACTGTCAACTGTGTACTACGTGCATATGTGTTTCCAAGGAAAACTGAATAGAAGGAGGGGGCGATAGGGTTTCCGTACACTTTGCTGTAACGTTTTTGGACTGCTGAAGAACTAGTTTTTGCGTAACAACAATAACAAAGGCAGCCCATCTAATGTAAACAAACATGAGTATACTTTGAATCTTCATCTAACGTCAGAAATGCCAGATGTTTGTGATCATTTGTGTTATTGTTTACAATCTTTATTATTGTTGTTACGCAAAAACTAGTTCGTCAGCAGTCCAAAAACGTCACAGCAAAGTGTACGGAAACCCTATCGCCCCCTCCTTCTATTCAATTCTCTTTGTATGTGTCTATGTATCTACTACTATCAACGTACTTACTACGCACATATATGTGTTGGTGTATGTATCTACTGTCAACTGTGTACTTAGTACGTACATATTTTTCAACTGTTTAGAAACAACTTTTCTTTACGGAGACAGAACCAATGTACTGTAATGAATATTCGACAAAAATAAATCATATATTTTCCTTATTTAACCCTCTCCCGATTAAGGAGGAGGGGAAGGGGGGGGGGGTGTTTTTCGCCACCATTGTGGTTTCTTCTAAATAACTTCAAAACGGCTTCTTCACTTTTTTAACATGATAGTTGTGAACAAATTTTGCCAATCTATAATTCCAAAGTTGAATGTTCATACTACCTACTTGTTATGTAAATTCCAAAGTTGAATGTACCTACCACCTACTTGTTATGTAAATTCCAAAGTTGAATGTACCTACCACCTACTTGTTTAATCTATAATTCCAAAGTTGAATGTACCTACTACCTACTTGTTATGCAAATTCCAAAGTTGAATGTATCTACTACCTACTTGTTATGTAAATTCCAAAGTTGAATGTACCTACTACCTACTTGTTATGTAAATTCCAAAGTTGAATGTACCTACTACCTACTTGTTATGTAAATTCCAAAGTTGAATGTACCTATTACCTACTTGTTATGCAAATTCCAAAGTTGATTGTACCTAATACCTACTTGTTATGTAAATCCACTAACATTGCTTTAACATGCGCCTGAAGTCCTCTTTGTACAATATTTGAACAGGTCTGGCCTACAGCCTGCATTATTTATATATTTAATTTTAATTAATTAAAACAAAAGGATAATAAAAGCTTTGATCAATGTTGGCTCACCGCATATTGACAATTATTATTTCTTGTGGCCATATCACAATTGTCCGCTGGTGAAAGCAAAGCAGTTACAATAACCAGAAAAACCTGAACAAGAAAATGTAAAGCATTGATTCAAATTGACTGTTTTTTCAAGCTTTCAGTCATATGCTTGATTAATAAGTCACTGTTGTGGAGAAAAAACAATTCTAAATATTGAAATGTTTTAAAGAGAATAAGATGGAAATCTTACTCATTCTAGATTTGAAAATGCCTTTGAAGATTCATAATTATTGTTAAAAGTAAGATTTTAAAAAAATATTTAAAAAAAGATTTTAAAAAGCTTTTCAGGATACTGGTTTGACATACTACTTAAAATAAAAGGTCTATGAAAATTACGTCCAGAGTTCCTGAAATAGTAATCACCGCCACCCAAATCTGTTTTGTGGCAAGCGCGCTCCTCAATTGATAATCTCCACCACCTCAAATAGTAATCAGCCCAAAAAAGCATAACATTAAATCGTATATTTCTTAGAAATAAGACCATATTGACCTCTTTTAATGGCCCTATGTTGTACAATATTGTTTGCTCCTTAGTTTCGAAAATAAATCTATAAATATGCCACACTAAGTGCTAGAAATATATTAGGTCTTTTAGTTTCAAGTTTCGCTTTAAGAATGTTTGTGGCATTTTCCTCTGAATGTTGTTTTAAACTCCTTAACCCATTATTAGAGGACTAAATACTTCATTTTCTGTAGGGGGTGGGATGAGACTAATTTTTCAAAATTTTATGCTCTTTCTATGCATATAATTGTTGTAGATGTTGAACTCAAGTAGGCAAATACAAAAATCTAAACACCGTAAGGGTTTTTTGAAAATATCTTTTAACCCTATCCCCGCTGGGGTACTTGAAAACCAGGATACGTGATCCAATTAGAAAAATCTTTTAATTATTTACAGATGATTTAGAACAATTCCTGATTTTAAATGCCTTCCCGGCTTAGAACAAGTTCTTGATAATAAGAACTCGTTCCTGATTTTAACGTTCTTTTCAAGCAGTTCCGTTCTTTTACAAATCGTTCCAATATTTTTTACATTTCGTTCTATGCGATTTTCTTATTTGGAATCGTTCTTGATAGTTCCGTTTGTTCCCCAGGAATGATGCCCAGTCCTAATCTCTCCCACGTGGAACTAGTATAAACATTGTAAGGAGAGACACCTTGCGGCCAACTATCAAAAAATTATTGATAATTTTAGGGTACAATAGAAGTAAGATTAGTAGTGATCATCCATCGAATATTTTTCGACGTAAAAATGTTATTCTATTTGTTTAAGAGAGATTTAATTTTGGTCTACAAATTACAAATAGCAGTTTTTAAACAGAAGAAATAATTTGTTTATATTTTAAAGAGATTAAATGAATGTTTAAAATGAATTTACCCTGAGAATAAACATAATTAGACTGAAGTATAATTTGCTTTCATGTCAAACAAGGCCTTATAATGAAGGAGGTAAAAATTAATTGGGTGGTAGAAAATCTAAAGTCTTTTAGAAAAAAATTGTTTTACTCAAAATTTTAAAAAAATTGATAGAATTGATAGAATACTGAAATTTAAGATTTGTTTACAACTTACTTAAAGGTTATTTTGTCTGGTTCTTATGAATTCAGGCTTATACCATCAGTTTTGTAAAGGCATCCCACTTTATGTCTTAGGAAGGTAGGTTTGGTAATAAGGATTATTAACACACAGTAAAGAAAAAATTTTATATTTATTAAATATTTCTTAAATGGGCCAATAGTGTTCTGAAAAATCATAGACCATAAGGATGGTCGATTTTTTACAATTTATAATTTACGATTCAATGATTTTCGTTGGAGATAAAATCCTTAAAAAGTTTATTTTTATGTTAAAGAAAAAATCAGGACGGGCCCAAAAAAAATTAACAAAAGAATAAACATAATTTAACTGAAGTATAATTTGCTTTCATGTCAAGCAATGCCTAATAATGAAGGAGGTAAAAATTGATTGGGTGGTAGAAAATCTAAAGTCATTTAGAACGAAATTGTTTTCCTCGAAATTTTCTAAATTGATGGAATACAGAAATTTAAAATTTGTTTAAAGACAAAACTTACTTAAAAGTTATTTTGTCTGGTTTTCATGAATTCAGGCTTATACCATCAGTTTTGTAAAGGCATCCCACTTTATGTCTTAGGAAGGTAGGTTTGGTAATAAGGATTATTAACACACAGTAAAAAAAAAATTTTATATTTATTAAATATTTCTTAAATGGGCCAATGGTGTTCTGAAAAATCATAGACCATAAGGATGGTCGATTTTTTACAATTTATAATTTACGATTCAATGATTTTCATTAGAGATCAAATTTTACCTCCTTCATTATTAGGCATTGTTTGACATGAAAGCAAATTGGCCGAAATTTAAAATTTGTTTACCGACACAACTTACTTAAAGTTATTTTGTCTGGTTCTCATGAATTAAGGCTTATTCCATCAATTTTGTAAAGGCATTCCTCTTAATGTCATTGGAAAGTAGGTTTGGTAATAAAGATTATTAACACGCAGTAAAAAACGACAAAATTTTTTATTTTTACTATACATATTTCTTAAAAGTGGCCAATGGTGTTCTGAAAAATCATAGCCCATAAGGAAGGTCGATATTTTACAATTTATAATTTGCGAATTCAATGATTTTTGTTCAAGACAAATCTGTAACAAAACATTTATCTTCACAAAAAATGCATTAACAAAAAAATTCAGGACGGGTCCAAGAAAAATAAAGTTTGGACAGGCCTAACAGCTGTTTTACTATTATTTTCTTTGCAAAATAAAGGTATTAACGTTACATTTGTTGCATGCTAATATATTAGACAGCAAAACAAAACACATGGAGGACTCTCAGATTATGTCATCATCAGGATACTACAAACACTTGTAAAATATAAAATTCATTATCCTTTATTGATTCCTTCTGAGAAAGAAAAGGATGCAGTTTTAAATGTTACGTCTTATGTTCAAGTTGAGATACATTCTGAATAGGAGAAGTTTGGGTAACTAAATTGTATACCTAGAAATTTGGAAGCTATAATTTGTTGACCTGACAATTGTATAACCTAGCATTTTCTGATAATATAGTGCCCTGAAAATTTGCTGACATGACATGTGGTTACCCGGAAATCTGTTAATCGATCATTTGTTTTACCAAATTTCTTAAAAATATCTTAAAAATGTCTCCGTAAATACCTGATAAATTCTCAGAACTTGGTTTTTCAATTTTACGGAATTTTTGGGGAACTGAATAAGAAACCTAGTTTCAAGAAATTTCTAAAAATTTCTCTGAAATTCTTGAAATTTTTCTAAAATATTTTTCAGGGGAAAAACTTAGTTTCAAGAATTACCTGTGAATTATTTAAAAATTTCCCCAGAAACTCCTGAACAATTCTAAAGACTTGGTCACAAATTTTACGGTTTTGTGGGGTGGGCTGGCTAGTGTGTGACACCAGTCTCGTTATATCACTGAAGTTAAGCACACTTGTCCGCAGCCAGTAACTGGATTGGTATCCAGACTGGTGTTCACAGGTTTGATTCCCAGGCTCCTCACAAACCTGTGATTTTAAAATCATCTGAAGCCTATATCTGGTTTAGCAGTTATGACCACCTGACGGATGCAGGAGGACAGAGGGGCGGCTGCCAACAACTCTTGCAGCAAAAGGGTGCATGCTTTCTACTCAATAAGAAGGAAGCTTGAAATGGATTGATCCAAGTGAATGATGATGAAGAGAAGAAAGGTTGACAAGCACGGAGAGTTTATGGTTGCCAGCTATGTGTACCTGGAGGTTTCCAATCCGGGCTTAGAAATGATCGGGAGCAATGAGTGTGATGTTTCCTATCTGTAAGGCACCTGGGCCTCATTCCAGTATATCAGAAGAATTCCTGCACTATACTTTTCTCAGGCCTATGAAGCCCATAGGCAGCTGGAATCTTGTCAGCCCTCTTCTCAGAATAAATGAAGCGTGGATGGATAAATGTGCTGCCAGATTACAACCCCTGGCAGTAGAAAAATTCCGAGATTCGATCGGAACAACCCGATCATGTCCTGGGGACAAAAACATCTCTTTTTTAATTTTACAATTTTTTATGGATCAGAATAAAAGACCAAAATTTTTCTCAAGAAATTCCTGAGCAATACTCAGGCAAGGATTTGATTACTAATTTTTATGGATATTTGTCGGCCTGTGGGATTTAACGTTAACGGTGACAGTTGTTGATTTTGAATGCCTTATATAACCTTTAATAATAAGAACCTTTCCTTAGATGTTAACATTTAACATTTAATTAGATTTAGATTTAATATTTAATCTAATGAAATGTGCTTTATATCTAAATTTAGAATATATACAAATAAATAAGCATTCAAAATCAACAGCTGCAACTGTTAGGGCAGATTATCCAGGCCAAATATTTTGGGGGAACAGAATAAGAAACTTATTTTAACGGAAATTTCTAAGAAGTTATCAGAACTTGATCAATAAATTTACTGATTATTGTGGGTCTCTGAGGGAGGGGAGGAAGGCCAACCACGTCAAACCACCTCGAAATCCTCGTCCTTTCAATATTATTTTTTTTAAGTGTCTAATCCTTCCGGATAAAACTATTTTTAAAGAATCGGGCCACTTTAGGGCATAAATGAAATATCAAATTTTTATAAATTGAAAAAAAAATTTCAATTGAATTAAAGATTTAAAGTTTAATGTCTTTAAAAATGTTTACCTTTTTTATGCGCATTTTCAGATATTTCTGGTGTAGAATGCCGCAAATAATTCCAAGTTTATAGAATTTCAATCTTTTTTGTTAACTTAAGTGAAAACCATAGAATTTTTCCAGGTGGTTCCATGGGAAAATTATAGGCAGAGGTATGCCGAATATTTTGCTATTTTTTTCATATCATGTAGGTTAGCCATGACGGAGGCAGAAGAGATTTAAGTTTTATCTAAATAAAGTTTGACATCATTTTCATGGGTTTGAAGATTCTAACATGATATAATCATTGCAATACTTTAGTCCATCCATATTTTATGCCCTAACATGGCCAGATTTAAAAAAAATAGTTTTATCTTCAATAATTGGAAACTTTTTAACACAGAATAATCGAAGGACGAGGATTCCGAGGTGGTTCGGACGAAAAAATGAGGAGAATGTGGTTCGGACTAGAGATTGATGTGGTTGGCCTTCCTCCCCTCTCTGAGGTTCCCTTCTTTTATGCACTGCCCTAACAAAATCTTTTTTCTTTGCATCCTGATTGCTGAAAAAAATGATAAATTTACAAACCATCTGTAAAATTTATATTTTTAAAAAAAATGTTATTGACAATTAAGCTGTCTGAAAATACAAAATACAAGACAACCTCAGAAAGATTAAAATCAGCTATTTCATTCTGACTTAAGAAATTGGTTGTACTTCTAAAAAGTTGAATTTTCAATGTAAATAGCCTGAGGCCGAATTTAAAGTATTTGAGCGGCAGCTTAAATTTAAGCCGCAGCTCAAATATGGTTGGTTTCACTTAAAATTGTATTCAATGTCTCAAGATATAATCCGGCGCTCAATTGAAACCGGTTTTTGGTGGATTTAAGACTTGACTCAAATTCATTAAATTCGGACACTTTTTAGTGAATTTACTCAGAAATATGAGGAGAATATCTCAAGATAAATCTTGGGAATTGTTTCCAGGAAATTCCCAGGAATGGGTTCTGAAGAACTTAACCCTAGAATTTCCCAAGAATTTCTCCAAATATTTCCTGGTTACTCTCCAGAATTGGTGACACAAAATTCTCTGGAATTGGTCACAAGAAATTCTCCGGCAGTGTTTACAACAAATTCTCCAGCCGTGGCTAAACCCCTGTGAATATCCAGTATGAATCCAACAATTTTCTCTATGAGAATCTTTCTCCCGAAATTCTCGAAAATTTTTCCAAATTATGTTTACATTTTCATCAGATTTTCCAGCTAGTGACCCGGTCCCAAGAGTTTCCTGAAACCAATTCCCAGGAATTTACAGGCTTTTGGAAATGAAAGATTCCTGGGAGGATTTTCCGCAAAATTGTTACCAGGGATAGTGAGTTGAAATCAGTGAATTGATTATCGTCTTCTAACATTTTTTTTACAATGATTTCGTGACTTTGGTAACAAAAATGTGCCCATATCTTGCAACTGTAAACATTGTCCCATATTGCCAAAAAATACTCTTTACCATCTATTTTTCTTCTGAAGTTACAACATTTTTGGTCACCAGATTGTCAATCTCTTTAGCTGCCAAATTTCACAGTTTAAACAAAAGGAAGGTTAGGTTACCAAATTGTAAGGTTACAAAATCGGTAGGTTACCAAATTGTTAGGTTACCAAATTGTTAGGTTACCAAATTGTTAGGTTACCAAATTGCAAGGTTACTGAATTGGTAGGTTACCAAATTGTTAGGTTACCGAAGTGTTAGGCTACCGAATTGTAAGGTTACTGAATTGGTAGGTTACCAAATTGTTAGGTTACCAAATTGTTAGGATACCAAATTGTTATATTACGGGATTGTGAGGTTACCAAATTGTTAGGTTACTAAATTGGTAGGTTACCAAATTGTGAGGTTACCGAATTGTTAGGTTACCAAATTGCAAGGTTACTGAATTGGTAGGTTACCAAATTGTTAGGTTACCTAATTGTTAGGTTACCAACTTGTTAGGTTACCAACTTGTTAGGTTACCGAATTGTTAGGTTACCAAATTGTTAAGTTACCAAATTGTTAAGTTACCACATTGTTAGTATAGACTTGAAAAAAAAGTGAAGGTAAAAGGCCATGATTGAATGGAATAACGAAACATGTTTGTACACAAAACTATAATTATAAGTTAGCTATATAAACTGATGATTGAATGATCAACTCACCTTTATTGAACATGACATTCGCCTTTAATGGGGAATGTATATTCCATGGAACTTCTCCTATCTGATGCTTTATCAGTATATACTGGGTATGGGAAATCTAATATGGCCAAACCTGCTCCTTTCTTTCCTGGCCGTAATATCCCTTTATTCCCCTTGTCTGCTCTCGTCCTGACCTGGCTGTACCGAATTAAAGCTCAACTTGATAAGGGTTAAATACCCTTTGAAGGTTGAGAGATAACCGGCTAACCGGCCAGCCTTATCAGACTAGAAACATATCTCCCGGAGGGGCAGTAACCGTAAATTGTAATGTATCTATTATATCTGTGAACTATGCTTGGTTCACATTAGGTTACCAAATTGTTAGGTAACCAAATTGTTAGGTAACCAAATTTTTACGTTCCCGACTTATTAGGTTACCAAGTTGTTAGGTTACCAAGTTGTTAGGTTACCAAGTTGTTAGGTTACCAAGTTGTTAGAACTTAATAAAAAAAACTGAGAATATTGAATTCAAGGGGAAAGATCTTACTTCATATAAAAATCTTGTTAGGTTATCTAATATCTTTGTTACCAATTTTTTAGGTTAGTATGTTGTTAGAACTTAATAAAAAAACCTGAGAATATTGAATTCAAGGGGAAAGATCTTACTTCTTGCTACCAATTTGTTAGGTTACTGAATTGTTAGGTTTCCAAGTTGTTAGAATTAAAAAAAAAACTGAGAATATTGATTTTAAGCTGAAAGACCTTACTTCATATGAAAATCTTGATGCATAGAGAGACCTAGATCGAAATTAAAGTCTCATCCTTTATGGGTAACCCTGTATCCGTCTTTCATTTAATTCTTCATTGTTATAATCTAGGCATAACACCTTAGGTAAGAATATCATGACTAACACCTTCTCCCGCTTTCTTCCCCTCCCCCCTCCCCCTTCTCTCCTCTCGCCAGCACAAAGTACACGGTGACTGTAGTGAGATATTGCCAACCTGATAGTATTTAGAATATAAAGTGATTTAAAATCATTGTTTTACGACTTTTGTTCAAAAAACTTTTTTTGTATTAAGACGGAAAGGTTTTTTTTTAAAGAATTGCCAAATAGAAATTTTTATATTTAGCAGTCCCAAGACAATTTAAAAAAAACGTTTTTTGGTGCTTAAAATAAAAACTTTTTTTAAGGTTAGCGAAAATCGCCACAAATACGATTTGAAAGTTTCTTGTTTATTGCGACATTCTGTCTTGGTCTAAAATAATGAGTATTAAAAAGAGTAAATTTTTTACATAAGTCTAGACACAGTTCAGCATGAACATTTTAAATTACTTTGTTGTTTTCTTTGTGTTAAAAACATTTCAGAGAAAAAGTTTCAATTTGCATAAAAATAAAATATATTTATTGCTAATCATGGAAAAAACGTTGTCAAACGATGATTGGAGGATTAAAGACGGTTTTATATTATATTTAAACTGAGGATCGAATTGTTTAAGTTTAATACAAATCTTTTAGCGGAAAGGTTCTACAGGACCTAAGTTAAAGTACCTTGTTTAAGAAATACAGGTCGTTATTCAAATATCATTTTTTCTGGGTAATTATAAAATAATGAAATAATATATATACGTGCGTCTAACGTAAAGTAATTATTTTCAAGATTGAAAGCTTTAAAGGGAGAGACCGGCTATGTAACATATTTTAACTGAGAATGCAGTATTTAGAGTGAAACTTTAGGATTCATTTCATACCTAAATGAGAAATTTTACGGTGTACAATTCTTAATTACGAGCCTAAAGCTGAAGTGCCCGGCGTTGTCCATGGAATTTCAAAAACATCGTAAAAAAGTTTGAATTTTAAAGACTTTTTTTGTTGTTGCCAATATTACCTCTGGGTCCTGGAAATTTCTGAGACCATCTTTCTTAATTCCAGAAATTTTTAAAACTGTTTTTCCCAAATTGTTTCTGGATTATCCACGGGTTATAACAATTTTTTTACCCAATTTGGTTCTACCGTTTGGCCAGCTATAGCTAACATATAAATATATATATGTTTATATAATTATGAAAATGACCATGCAGTTTCTGAAAATTCCCAGACATCTTGATCATATACATCCACATACATGCTTAAAGTCAAAAAGAACTTATAAAAATCTGAAGCTGGAAACAAATGATATGTTTTTTTAATTGTTCTCAATTTCGCTAATACAAACATAACCAAGGTAGAGCGGATAAATTCATCTTCGTTTAACCTTTTTACTATAAATATAGATAAAGTATCTTTTATTTTGAAAATTGAGTGATAAGAGTTACAAAATATTTAAAAATCTACAGCGACAATTCTAATTAAAAGATCTAAAAAACGCTTTTTGGTTATGACAGCACTTTCAATCAATTCCTAAAACAGATTTCAGGAAAATCCAACATTTTTTAGTGTTATATGATGCATTTTCGTGAATCAAAATGTTTAGGTTTTTTCCTTAGATTTATAACAATACAGACAGAACACTAGATGTCGTCTTTTCAAGGTTAAGGGGGTTTTCGTTCACAATAACCCTTAGGCAGAATGACAAAGGAGTTACGCGCATGCTGCGTTGAATGATAAGATAGAGAGAGAGCATGCGCCGCCTAACTCCTTTGGGCTTTTGCCTCAGGGTTATTGTGAACGAAAAACGCTAAATCTTGAAAAGACGACATCTAGTGTTCTATCTGTATTGCTGATTAATCTATGTTTAATCTGTCGTTGAACCAATCAACTCTAATACAAAAACTCTGCGCAGTCCCTTTCGGTTTAATCTTCTGATGCAATTCCGGAAAAAGAAGAGTTAAATGTTGCCAGTCTAGGCTTTTCAAGATTTTATCTTGATGCAAACACTTCGTTTTGCATTTTACTACAAGAGCCCGTTTCATTAATTTCAATGATTTTTTACTGTTGCATCGCCCACACAGATTCTATAGTCTCTATAGTCTAATGCCAAGGTATGTATACAAATGGTACGGGGCAGGGTTTCTTTGATTGTTACGTATTAGAACTGGTATGGTTTTATCAAAACAATAACAAAGATTGTAAACAAAAAACGGCCGGGGCCGCGTGTACGAAGGCTGGGCTTGTTGTTTATTTAACTTAAACCGGTTCCAATCCCTTACCTTTAATTTACATACCTTGGTCTAAACTAACCACCAGATTCTAACCATTGTTCTCCATGGCGCCGTGACAAACTCCTGAATGACAAACTCCGGAATGACAAACTCCTGAAAGACAAACTCCGGAAAATACAAACTCCTGAAAGACAAACTCCTGACGAGACAAACTCCTGACGAGACAAACTCCTGAAGAGACAAACTCCTGAAAATAAAAAATTCTGAAATACAAACTCCAAAATATCAAATTTGAAAAAAATGTTTCACGTCCAGAAATATTTTGGAAACAACTCTAAAAAAAATTGTCCTTGAAGCTTATTTTTAGGTATAATGCCTAAATGTCTTTTTCCCTTTATGACCCGTTTTTTATAATTCTTAATTTTGCTAAGATTGGCAATTTCATGTCTGTAATATCATACATGATATTTTCTCTCTAATATAATCACATTGTTTAAAGATTACCAAAAACCTCCTTTGCAGACTAAAAAGTGAAAATGCCTTATTTGACTTTTTGATGTAAAGTTTTTAACAAAGATTATTTAAATTTAGACTGGGAGTCATGGATATATTTACATGACTGAGGATCAGTCTACATGGTATTTAAGGTAACATTTAGTTTTATCACTTCATCTTTATGTAAAGGACCTGAGTCCTCGCCACAAACTCTTGTTTTTAAATCTTTATATCTTTGAAACCTCATTTTGTAGACCTCTGATGTTTCAAACTATGAATTCTGTTTGATCAAATATTCTAAGTTTGAAATATCAAAGGTTTATTTCATCAAGTTGCAAATATATAGGAACTAAAAAATTTAAGTTTGTGACTAGAACTCAGTTCCTTTCATGTTATAAAAAAAGCCTTTCAATCATATTTTTTCTATTGTACCTTATTGTCGGTGGATGGGTTTGAAATGAAGAAAGTATAAAAAAACTCTCTCAGTTTTAACTTTTAAGATTGTTGTACTATAGACAAAAGCGTTATTGAATTCAAATTAAAGAAACCAAACGCATATGGCCAGGGTAAGCATTTAGCAGGGATAGGAATTGATGAAGCAAAACATTGGTTTATATTTAACGCCGACATTATTCTTGTTTAGGAATCTGATCTACTAAACATTTCGACCTTAAAGAAATTTGATGTAAAATATTTGTTTTCAATTTTGTTTAATGCAATTAAATAAACTATGATCTGTAATGTGAAAATATTTGATTATAAAATTCACACAATGTGTAGGCTTTAGAGTTTAGGCCTTAAAGAAGATGCGTACGAGTAGGGATTCAGTTTAGAATTCAGTAGGGATTCAGTTTAGAATTCAGTAGGGGTTCAGTTTAGAATTCAGTAGGGGTTCAGTTTAGAAATCAGTAGGGATTCAGTTTAGAATTCAGTAGGGATTGAGTTTAGAATTCAGTAGGGGTTCAGTTAATGAGTAGGGATTCAGTTTAGAAATGAGTAGGGATTCAGTTTAGAATTCAGTAGGGATTCAGTTTATAATTCAGTAGGGATTCAGTTTAGAAATGAGTAGGGATTCAGTTTAGAATTCAGTAGGGATTCAGTTTAGAAATCAGTAGGGATTCAGTTTAGAATTCAGTAGGGATTCAGTTTAGAATTCAGTAGGGGTTCAGTTTAGAATTCAGTAGGGGTTCAGTTTAGAATTCAGTATGGGTTCAGTTTAGAATTCAGTAGGGGTTCAGTTTAGAATTCAGTAGGGGTTCAGTTTAGAATTCAGTAGGGATTCAGTTTAGAATTCAGTAGGGATTCAGTTTAGAATTCAGTAGGGATTCAGTTTAGAATTCAGTAGGGTTCAGGTTAAAAATGTTTGGTTCAGCTGTTAGAAATAAGGGGTTCAGGTTTTATTGAATTATTTTTTAGATCAGAGTCCACGTGGATCAATTTCTTTGAAATCAGATTTCTTTTATCAAAACGTATAAATCTAAATTCATAGCACCGACATAAAGCGTAAAAGAGAAAAAGAGAAACATTTTTGTTTGGTTGTTCACTTTGTGATCGAAAGTCACAGCTCACTGAAACGAGGACTGATTCAGTAAATCCCAGAAACTGTAGAATAGAAAGACGACATTATAGCAATGCTGAAGTGCATTTGTTGTCGTTATAAAGCAAAAATTTTGAAAATCTTTTTCTATACGAAATGGGTCTGTTTATTAGACTATTTAAAGTCAATCAGAACTTGAGTTTGAAAGTCGACTTCCTAATCCAGAATTTGATGGTTATCACTGTATGAAAAATCACCGTGCCATTAATGCATAACTCTGGTTTAGTTTAAATGTGCTGGTTGTATTGGCTGGCGCACTGGTTAGTAGTCCTTGTAGTGAATGGTTAGGAAGGTAAAATATTTTATCAAATCTCTAATAATATTTTACCGTTTTTCTCTATTTTCTTTTATTTTCATTTTCCACAGTGTTCCAAAGGTTGGAAGGTCCCACGATAAAATCCTTGGAATTTTGTCAATTACTTCTTCAAAAGTAAAGATTCAACCCAGCTTTTTGAATTATTCAAATGTACATGTCTATGGCTAAAAAATGGAACAAGTGAGTAAGTGAGGTAGCATCATATGCAAAGACGCTGCGACACTTTAAAGTTGACCCAGTCATCAACATTGATGCATCATTTTAGATCAGTCTGAATATATGGGTTTCTGGCCTTATTTTCAATAAATAGTTAAGTATAAAAAACTAACTATTGTTACACAAATAAACTAAATATAGAATAAATTAATCAGTATAGAATAAATTAGTCAGTTTTTACAAAAATTATTTAATTTTCAAGCACATTAATGATTTATCAAATAAATTAATTAATTATTAAACAAATTAATTAGTTATCAAACAAATAATTAATTATTAAAAAATAAATTAATTATCAAACAAATTAACTAATTATCAAACAAATTGATTAATTATTAAACGAATTAATTAATTATTAAACGAAATTATTAATTATTAAACAAATTAATTGATTATCAAATAAATAAATTAATTATTAAGCAAATTAATTAATTATCAAAGAAATTAACTAATTATCAAACAAATTAACTAATTATCAAACATATTAATTAATTGTTAAACAAATTAATTAATTATTAAACAAATTAATTAATTATCAAACAAATTAACTAATTATCAAATAAATTATTAATTAATTATTAAACAAATTAATTAATTATCAAACAAATTAACTAATTATCAAACAAATTAACTAATTATCAAATAAATTATTAATTAGTTATTAAACGAATTAATTAATTAATCATCAAAATAATCCAACCAATTTTCTGCAGGAAGCGAAGTTTAATGGTGATGCATGTCCTACAGATCGTGTCATGTATTATCATGTTTTTTGGACATACCTACCCTATAGTACTAGCAGGCTGGTTGTTCAATGGGTTCTCTGCAGGCTTTGGTAAGAGGTCTGGGGAGATTCAAGTTGGCAAAATTTACAAAATTAGTTTTTAGTATTTCATTGGTTTAATAATGAACTAATCCATGCCAAATTATATTTCAACTGTTTAAAGACGGATCTTTTAACCCTATAAAGGCAGGGGGGTCCGAATCTATGTAAAGCATGGGGGGGGGTGTTTTTCGCCCCCCTAGCAAAAAAAAACTTAAAAATTAGGTATAGGGTTGAATCATAGCCCAATTTTTTATGGACAGCTCAATAAAAAAAATTATACTGATAACTTTAATAGTTTGGGTGCTAGGGAGGGCGGAAAAAAATGCCTTGAAAAAAGGTCAAAAAAAGGAAAAAATATTTTTTTGTTGTTTTAAACAAATATTAAAGTGTAATTAAAGTGTGACACATGTCTATACATGAATTTTTCAATTGCTTTTTAAAAAAATAGTTTCCAGATCTGTAGCTTTAGTCACAAAAAAGTTATGGGCTATTTTAGATTTTTTTCTCAAAGACCGGACTTTTTTCCGCCCTGTACCCTACTCTAAAAACAAAAATCCCTTCAAATTACTATTCACTAAAAGTCACAAAAGTTCACGGTTATAGTGACAAAATCAGAGTGCTAGGACAAAAAACTACAGGGCCCCCCCAGCCTGTTTAGGGTTATTTATTCATTTTGAAGAATTTTCGTTCGATCTTACTGAAGATTTTTTTACACTTATTAGAGAGAAAAAAACATAAAGGGATGGAACTATAATTAACAAATTATTCCCTTTATTAATATATTTAGGTGTCATGCTGCCATATACTCTAACAAGTGAAATATCAACCATTAAACTCAGAGGAGGTAGTTTATTGAAAACTGTGAATATTCACACTCATCTAAGGTTGCATAAAAATCGATAAAAATTTTGCGAATTATCTTGATTTAAAACTGAAAACATTTCACATTTTGGGTTGAACGAACATTCTAATTAATCTATCGTTCAAAAAAATTAACAAAATTCTGACTGAAGGACTGAAAAAAAACGAATAAAATGGATAGTTAACGTACGAAGAACATACAAAGGGAAAAATGATGAAAGGGTCAATTTCTACCTTTATTGTGAGTTATTTATTCTTTGATTTTTCAGTTCTCGGAAATTTGAACAATCTTTGCCAAAGCTATGGAAACCTGGTAAAATATTTTTTATCCTAACTCTCTAATACTTATATAACAATATAATTTTTTATCCTAATTCTCCAATATATATTTAACAATATCATTTTTTATCCTAACTCTCTAATATTTATATAACAATATATAAAATAATGTATTTAATATGCAAGAGTTGAAATTAGGATGGTTGCTTATTGAATCAAGTATTTGTTTGTTTAGTTAGTTTACGGGATAAACATGATAATACCTCCGCAATACTTGGTATTTACCGGTATTACTCTTTCTCTTCTCTTCCTAGTATTATCTCCTCTAATCGCTTATTCTCCACATTGGTTAGTCAGGTCTCTTAATTTTACATTTATAATAAAACAGGACATTCGTATATTGTTGCCTATACCCGGCCAAACGGCTGGACCGATTGATCTGAATTTTTTTTGTGGACACTCATTGGTGGCGGGGGTGTCATAGGCTAAAATATGAAATTTTTCTTTTTCAAAAAAAATTTTTTTCAAATTTTTTTTATTCCACGGGCAACGCCTGGCCCTTCAGCTAGTATTTTATTCATTCACTTTTCAATAAATTGAAAAACATTTTCAGAAAGGGAAAAAGGAATGAAGCAGAAAATATGCTCAGGTATTTTATTGTACTTTTTCCAACTTTTTAAAGCCAAATGCTCATTAAAAAGAATTAGACCTCTAATTTGGGAAGTCAGGATTCTAAGGTTGCAAAAATCTAATTTTCGACAAATGTTTAATGTTATAAATTCAGAAAATTAAGACATTTTAAAAAAAATCAAATAAAAACGTAACTTGAATGCAACAATTGACACTTTTTAAAGACACCATTGAACACAAAATTCATTTCTAAAAAATATTTTTTTTAAATTTAAGTCGCATTTAAAAAATTGATGAAATAGCATTGTAGGGTGTTGAGGGGAGCTGAATATAGCGGAATAAATCAGGAGATAAAGGAAGTTTTATCAGTTACTGATATTAACGTCAATAATAAGGTGAAAAGCAATCTTTTCAAAAAAATTGGTTTTAGGCTTTTAAATAAATAACTAAAATGCGAATTTGCAAACTTATATATTTAAATACTATAAACCTTCTGTAAGTTTGGAGGAGGGAGGCTCTAAAAATGCTTTGATTATGCATTTCTACCTCAATGCTTTTATTGACAATAATAAAAGATTTATTTCACCCCANCCTCCCCCCTCCCAGCTATGTCTCAACGCCTTTTTCGGGTTAAGTACCACGAATTCTGAACTTTTAATATCTATATCTTTGGAACACGATGGCGTAAACATTTCATTTCAAACTATGCATTATATCAGATCAAGTAGTACAATTCGCAAATATATAAGAATTCCTGTATTTTTAGTCTTGTATGGCGCGCTGGAAATCTCGACAGTTTCTTATTCCTTTAGGAATTCTGCTAATTATGTTTGGATCAATTGGTAAGAGCTGAAAAATTAACTCAACTAATTTTATATTTTTTACTTTTCTTTATTAGGACTCTGCGGCCGAAGTGCACCTATTACACACTATGGACCAAGGAAAATACTTTTCAATGATTTCTAAGAAAGATTAATTTCAATATTGACGTTTGACAGTTAAATGTAATAATAAAAGAAAAAACGTCGAAACGCCAGAAATGATGGAGCCGAGATTTTTCCAAAGTTTATATTGGTCAAAATTTGAAAATAATCATAAAAAAAATCTTGATTTGTCAAATATTTTAGAAAGCAAGCCTCCATCGAAAATATGAAAATACATGAAATTTTATATTGTTCGGCTGTTTAAAATTGAAAGGAATAACTTAATTACCGTTTTATTAAAGAATAACATTTCTGGGGGTAAAATGGGAGTCGAAGCCTATTTATGATAAAAGTTCACTTTAGAAAATATTCGCTTGAAAATAATCTTTGGAATGTACAATTTTTATCTTTTTATTTATTGAGCAAAGTGATTTTTAGTATGTTTGCTGATTTTGGATTCACTATTTCATATCAAATAATCTTGCTTTTTATTCCAATAGGTGAGTGTAACATTTAACCAATGATTATAGTTAAAATTTTATAGTTGGAAGTAAAGCTAGTATTTATTGTACAGTTGGATATACTGCTAGTGTTTTATTGTATAGTTGTATATACTGCTAGTGATTTATTGTATAGTTGGATATACTGCTAGTGTTTTATTGTATAGTTGGATATACAGCTAGTGTTTTATTGTATAGTTGGATATACTGCTAGTGTTTTATTGTATAGTTGGATATACTGCTAGTGTTTTATTGTATAGTTGGATATACTGCTAGTGATTTATTGTATAGTTGGATATACTGCTAATGATTTATTGTATAGTTGGATATAATGCTAGTGTTTTATTGTATAGTTTGATATACTGCTAGTGATTTATTGTATAGTTGGATATACTGCTAGTGTTTTATTGTATGGTTGGAAATAAAGCTAGTGTTTTATTGTATACTTGGACATACACCTAGTATTTTTTTGTATAGTTGGATATACAGCTAGTGTTTTATTGTATAATTGGGTATATACAGCTAAAGTGTTTTATTGTATAGTTGGAACTAGAGCTAGTGTTATTGTATAGTTGAGTATTCATATATTGTTAACTAGCCTTAGAGGGCGCTTCGCGCCCATCTTCTAAATTAATTGTGAACATGTTCTCTTTGTGTGCATAGTAAAACGGAACAAAAATAATTCGCAGAATTTCATAAAAAATTTCGTGGATTTTCAAAATTTAAAAAAATTTAATGGAGATCGAATTTTGATGTAGACAAATATTTAAAATTTCAATCATTCATAAACCTTCCCTGGGGTCCCTAGATGTCACGCAAAAAATTTGGGCCCGATCGGTTCAGCCGTTTTGACGTTTATTGGATACAAACAGACAGACAGACAAACAAACAAACACCAAGACAAGCCAAATTTATATATAGAAGTTGAATATACACCTAGTGTTTTATTGTATAAATTTTATTGTATAGTTGGATAAACAGCTATTTTTTATTTTATAGTTGGAAATAAAGCTGGTGTTTATTGAATAGATTGGATATACAGCTAGTACTTTATAGTAAAGTTGAATATATAGCTAAAGTGTTTAATTGTATAGTTGGATATATAGCTACTTTTTATTGTACATTTGGATTTACAGCTAGTGTTTTATTGTATAGTTGGATAGTTGGAAATATAGCTAGTGCTTTATTGTATAATTGGTTATACTAGTGTTTTATTGTATAGTTGGATATACTGCTAGTGTTTTATTGCGTAGTTGGATATACAGCTAGAGTTTTATGGTAAAGTTGATTATACAGCTAGTGTTTTATTGTATGGTTGGAAATAAAGTTAGTGTTTTATTGTAAAATTGGATATACTGCTAGTGTTTTATTGTATAATTGGATATACAGCTAGTGTTTTATTGTAAAATTGAATATAAAGTTAGATATAAAGCTTATGATTTATTACTCAGGGACTGCAGTTGGATATACAGCTAGTGTTTTATTGTATAGTTGGATATACTGCTAGTGATTTATTGTATAGTTGGATATACAGCTAGTGATTTATTGTATAGTTGGATATACTGCTAGTGATTTATTGTATGGTTGGATATACTGCTAGTGTTTTATTGTATAGTTGGATATACAGCTAGGGTTTTTTTTTGTATAATTGGATATACAGCTCAGGTTTTATTGTATAATTGGATATGCAGCTAAGGTTTTACTGTATAATTGGATATACAGCTAGGGTTTTTTGTTGTATAATTTGATGAAAATTTAGATATTAAGCTATTGATTTATTACTCAGGGACTGCAGTTGGATATACAGCTAGTGTGTTTATTGCTAAAAAACTAAAAATAAAAATGCAATTTACTATGTCAGCTTGTATCATGATAGTGGCTGCAGGTAAAACATTATTGGAATATTTTTAATTGTCTTGCTTATTTTGATTTCAATTCATTAGAGCTTTCACAAAACTTTAGAATCATCCTTTGTGATTTCAATCAAATCTATTAAACTACTTCAAATAAGAAACATAAGATAAAATAAGAAAATATGTTATGCTTAGTCTTATTTCTAAGACGGCAACAATGTTATTATTAAGGCCCGGAACTGAGAGTTCTTGTGGGGGGGCACATGAATCTTTTGCCCCTTAACCCCCTCCCTCATTACAGTCCTAAAAAGTATCTAAATAATTTGCAGGGTTGATCTCATTAGCCTATTATCTAAAGGAGAATTCTAGAGAGGAGGAACACCGCAAGCTTTCTTCTCAGGTAGTCTCCCAAGATCTAGTTGAGGAGGGGGGAAGGGAAGGCAAGCCGCACCCGTTTAGCCTCCTTCCCGCATTTTACTCACAAACAGTGACTTGCGGCAACGCGCACACCCGTAGCGCTTTCTTAGCCGCACCCATACATCTTCCGGCAAAATGTCTTTTGAATGCTAATTGAAGAGGAGTCAGCGTTAATTTAAGATTTTAAAGACGTCATGACATCAATAAGAACCTAAACATAGTAATCATAATCTTTTTTTGATAATATAAGTAAACATTATGGCTTACTGGGTCAATAGTTCTTAAATTTTTGTTGAAAAATTGGGATTTATTGCGATTTCCTAAAATGTAATATTTTGTACATGGCTGCTGATGTTGATCTTCTCTAAAAATGTTTTTTGACGGTAAGGAGAAATTCAATCTTTACCAAAAATGTTTTGCGTGTCATTTGGTTTCAAATGATCTAAAACCAGATAATTGGACGCAAATTGCACGCAACACTATGTTAATTCTGGTAAAAATTAAATTTCTCTCTTCCTACCAAAACATTTTTAGAGAAGAATAACATCAGCCGATATGTACAAAATATTATATTCTATAAATGGGTGCGGCTAAGGAAGCGCTATGGGTGAGCGCATTGCCGCTAGTCTATGTTTGTGAGTAAATTGCGTGATGGAGGCTATTCAAGTGCGGCTTGCCTTCCCCCTCTCCAGACTGCTTTGAAAACTTTAGAGTTATAAAGCAATTGGACATAGTTTTAGTTTTCAGAAGTAATCAGTAAAAATGTTTTCCATGATTGCTGTCTGAATTTTCTAAATATTTAATATTTATTTATTTCATAATCGCATAGATAAAATTTTTGATTGGTACAATTATACTAACACATAAATTCTAAAGAGCAAATATAAAAATAATTAAAAATTTAATTCAAATAATTCAAAATTTAATTCAAATAATTTTAGTTATTCTTTTCATTTGGCGTGTTTGCTTTGACATTAGGTAAGAGTAAACTAATTATAATGTATATACATTTACATCTTAAGTATACAATACAAATGTCCTAATAGGATATGGTGCTAGGTATGAATATAATTAATAAAATAAATATTCTACTAGGGGTACTAGGGGGTATGGTGCTAGGTATGGATATGATGAATAATGAATGCCCTACTAGGATATGGTGCTGGGTATGAATATATTGAATAGGATAAATGTTCTACTAGGATATGGTGCTAGGTATGAATATAATGAATAATGAATGCCCTACTAGGATATGGTGCTGGGTATGAATATAATGAACATAATAAATGTCCTTCTAGGATATGGTGCTGGGTATGAATATATTGAATAGGAAAAATGTCCTACTAGGATATGGTGCTGGATATGAATATAATGAAAAATGAATGTCCTACTAGGATATGGTGCTGGGTATGAATATAATGAATAATGAATGACATATTAGAATATGTTGGTGGGTATGACTATAACGAGTAATAAATGTCCTACTGGGATATGGTGCTGGGTATGAATATAATGAAAAATCAATGTCCTACTAGGATATGGTGCTGGGTATAAATATAATTAATAATGAATGTCCTACTAGCATATGGTGCTGGGTATGAATATAATGAATGGCATATTAAAATATGTTGGTGGGCATGACTATAACGAGTAATAAATGTCCTACTAGGTTATGGTGCTGGGTATAAATATAATGAATAATGAATGTCCTACTAGCATATGGTGCTGGGTATGAATATAATGAATAATGAATGTCCTACTAGGTTATGGTGCTGGGTATAAATATAATTAATAATGAATGTCCTACTAGCATATGGTGCTGGGTATGAATTCAATGAATAATGAATGACATATTAGAATATGTTGGTGGGTATGACTATAACGAGTAATAAATGTCCTACTAGGATATGGTGCTGAGGATGAATATAATGAATAATAAATGTCCTACTAGGATATGGTGCTGGGTATGAATATAATGAATAATGAATGTTCTACTAGGATATGGTGCTGGGTATGACTATGATGAATAATGAATGTCCTACTAGGATATGGTGCTGGGTATGAATATGATGAATAATGAATGACCTACTAGGATATGGTGCAGGGTATGGTAGTATTACCTATACTGCTATTGGAGAACTGCTGTCCCCCGAGGATAAGAGTTTAGGAAGTGCTATAGTTGTGTCTACTAGAATGATAGTAACTACTGCTGCTCTTAAGGTATAAATACAAGTACTTCATTCAGTTAAGGTGAAAAATAAAAAAAATGCTAAAGTAACCGTTCACTTATTGGGGTAATTTGAGGGTAAACTAAATAGCCTATTAGATATTCATTGGTATTATTGTCTTACTTTTTAAAGAAAAAGCCGAATTATCATTCAGAATTCCAGCGCAAAGGTATGCTACCTTTGTGGCGGAAGACGATCCCTGTGTTTTAGTTAGAACAGAACACGGTGGAGAGATCTAAGCAATTCAGCTGATTCAGTAGTTTTTCATGAGCTTGATAAATTTTTTTAAGTTAGTTAATGAACTATAGACGTCGAACTTTGTGGTTATTTTAGCGAAGCTAAATTGGTGACCCCGAGTAACGTAACTGTTTTTTCCATTATAGAAATTATTAAGCTACATGCTCAAGTGATAATGCCTAAAAAATCTGTGAAAATGTTTTGGCCCTAGCTGAGTGCTCCTCTCTGGACCTTCTGAAAACTGTGTCTGTCAAAGCTCCTGAGTTTTGGTCTGATTCCACTGCAGAGGCCTGGTTCATTCAAACCAAATCACAGTTTGCTCTGAAGGGAGTGACCACAAGTTCTAAGAAGTTCTACTATTTTGTTTCATCCTTCAACCAAGAGATTTCAAACCAGGTTCTAGATCTCATTAAATCTCCTTTCTTTGACGAACCACATAAAGCCCTAAAGAGACGGACGGAAATTGCTTAAAAAGAAATTTAAAATATGGAACACGTTCTTTTTACCAGTAACGAGTTCTAAGTCGCATATTAAATCAGGAATGTCCAGGGGCCTAGGAGAGGGGGGCCAGGAGATTTGTTGAAAAATACCTCGGATTCTTGATTTTGGAGGCAGTACTTTAAAAGCTTTCATTCTCTTTTTGAAAATCATTTTGAAAATTTCTTTTTTCTTTCTTCAAAGTACACAAACCTACAAAGCAGTTTAACTAATGTAGAATCAATTACGAGGTTTAAAGTGACTGCAGACATAATTTCAATTCTGATTCACAACAATATACCATTCATAGCTTTATCTGATCAAGTATTGCATTACATATCCGTGTTTCCCATTTTGAAAACTGAGTATTTTCAGTTGTGGTTTCTCTACAAAAGTGACTAATGCATTTCAATTGCATCTACAGAAACGATGGAGAAATAAAGACTTTAAAGGTATATCGGACACGCCACTCTACAAATGGGGGTTCACTTGAAATTATGCATGTATTCCATTTAAGTATAATTACATTACATATCATATGGAAAACAATGCACAGTATAAAAAATCTCACTTTTGCCCCCAAGTAAAAAGTTTCATTAAAAAAGCTTTCATCAATACTGCCTTCAGTGTAAATATAGATTTGATATTATTATTTATGTAATAAATCCTATGAAAATATAGATATTTTTCAAGAAGCGTTTCCATATCTATTTTTCACCCCTTGAAGCTTACACCACAGTATTAAGAGAAAGTGTTTGATGAGTCTACTTAAGAAAATTACATAAATGATTTATTAACACTTGGGATGGAACCGTTCTCGACACTAAGAACACAAAGAGCGGAATGGAACAGAACGTGGATGGAACGATTGGAAAAAGAACGAACGAGAACGGAACGAAACGTGGATGGAACGATTGGAAAAAGAACGAACGAGAATGGAACGGAACGTGGATGGAACGGTTGGAAAAATAACGCACGAGAACGGAACGATCTAAATGGAGGCCCTCCTTTTATAACGGAACGGAACGATTTAGAAAAAAGTTGGAGCCCTATTTGACCGTTTGATACGTTTTCCCAACTTTCCCAGGAATCCCAGGGATTTATTGAAGAGTTGGAATCTGGGAACCGGGTTGTCTGAGAGAGGAAGTCGTCTTTATATACACATGTAAATCAAAAGTTTTTATATTTTATTATAAAATGGCTGACACATGATCTCATTGAAGTATGATAATTTTAAATTTTATTGGGCTTTTGTTATGGAAAAAATGTTAAATAGTGTCTATGCAAAGTAAAACTAATACCAATGAATAGCTAATAAGCTAATTAGTTTACCATAAAATTACCAAAACAAGTGAACGATCCCTTTAAGAACTATTTATTTTCATTTTAAACAAGTACAATAATTTCATGTGACACACGTTACTTCATTCAATTGACAAATGTTTTTTTTAAGTTGAACACATCAAAAAGTTTGACCATTCTATCTCACAAAGTGTTTTAACTTCATGATGAAAACCTAATTATAACTGTAATAGTACAGCCATTTTTTTTTGGTCTGGAGACTGAAATGTGGTACACTTACATGTCAATAGTCTAACTTATCAAGGCCCACTCATTTTTGATTAAGAAAAGTGGAAAAAATGTAAAAAAAACTTATTTAGGTGTATCCATATGTTCTTGGGGTCATCGGTTATCCAATTTTGTTCCTTGGTCATGCCACTGTCATCTTGCTAACAACAATTTTTGTGTTCAAGTAAGTAAAGTTGTATATGCCTGTATATGCCTGTATATGCCTGTATATGCCTGTATATGCCTGACACTAGTCATCAATCTCATTTTCCTTTGACTGGATTTAAGTATCCTCTACAGTGATATCCAGAAAACAGCAGAATAGGAAGACGACATTAAAGCAATACGGACTTTTTACCGCCCTGTACCTAACCCTATGTATTAAACAAAGCAAAAAAAATACAAAGAAATCCTTTAAATTTTTATGGTGATAGTGTCCAAAAATGACAGGTTCAGGATATAAAAGTTTTGCCCTCTACGACAATGTGTTGAAAAGATACAAGGATTAGAAAATCAGAGTTTGTGATTAATACTCAATTCCCTTTCTCAGGTTTCTCCCAGATACGGATGACAAGAGTATGTCGCAGATTCAAGCTTTGTACAAGAAGAAACAATAGAGACTCATCTACAATTGTTAAACCATGAATAAATTCTATTTATATTAAATCCAATATTTATTATTTTATTGTGTTTGTTTGCAGTTTGGAAATTCTTTTTTGTTCGTTCAGACAAATATTTTGTGAATATCCAATCAACGGGTTCATATTTACAGTGTAATCTAAACACTGCAGAGAATCATAGACCATATCATGATTCATTCAATAAATAATTTATTATTATTCGATGCATATATGAACCGTGTATAAGAAATCTGAATTTTTCAGAAGTTCAAAGTCTTGTGGGAAATTGCGCAAATTTACAATGATTTGATCTCGAATTCCAGCGTTCCCAACTTAGAACGCGTTTAACGTTCTCTTCAAGCGATTTCAGTTCGTTCCACGTTCGTTCTTTGTATAATCGTTCCAATAATTTTAAGAACGCGTTCTTTGTGTTCGTTCTTTATTCAGAACAATGGGATCGTTCTTGATAATTCCGTTTGTTCTCGTGAAAGAACTATCGATACCCAGGTACAACGCCCAGTCCTATATTCACTGTGATAATTAACAGATAGATTTTAAATTTGAGATCACAGACTAGATATACACAGACTGCTTATAAGCTCTCACAGGATAGGCTAAGCAGGCCTATAGTTATCTAGGCACTATATGCTACATTTCCACGAAAGTTTTGACTGCCATCTAACGGCCACTTGTTGTATGTAATACCCATTTTGGATCCTTAACCCTATTCCTGCTGGGGGGGGGGGTCAATTTGACCCCCCCCTGTAGTTTTTTTTAAATAACTCAAAAAGTATTGGTCTCAGACTGTTGAAATTTTCTGACTTTTCCTACATACCCAAAGCCCTCCCTTTAGTCCTCAGGCACACTGCCTGAATGACTGCTTTTTCCTGTAACAAACTAAATCTTTGTTTTGACCCACTTCCACTTGTCAGATTTTGATAAAATTTAGCTTTTTGGAAAGCCTTTGGCATAAGGAAACGAATTGCACAAGTTTTCCGAAAAAAATTGCAATTTTTTTGCAAACAACCTGTCAAAAGAAATTTGCACATTTTTAGTTTTTCTTGATTAAAAATAAGGTTATTTAATATTTTGCAAAAATATTTGCATATTTGAAATGGCATGATCAAGGGCTTTTCAAAAATGTATAATTTTTCATTTTTAGGACAAATTTTTTTTTGCACACATTTTTACTATATAACTGGATTTTGCGATAAAAATTCAATTTTTGCAAATTTGCAATTTTTTTTGCAGATTCTAAAAGTAGAGCACAAGAGCTTTCCAATGATGTATCATTTGTCATATTTGGACATCAAACATGGGATTTAGAGGGGGGGGGGCAAATTGACCCTCCCCAGCATATCCTGGTTTTCAAGTACCCCAGAAGAGATAGGGTTAAATATCCCTGAATACATCTGCTGATTGGTCGTTTAATCAAGTTGTACACAATGGAACCTGCTGCGGAAAATATCGCATATTTTAGCCATTAATAGATCTTCATGTACTCTCATATCTCTCTCAGAAAATGCAGTACATTACCAATGTAAACAAATATGTTGTGTATCTTCCTAATATAAAGCGCGCTTCTAAACCATAAATCCTATATTTATGGATATACCATAACTACAGGGTGACACTGATTTAGTGTAATACAATACAGTTATAAAAAATTATCAAATACTCTTATTCAATAAAAGGTTTGGGGGGGGGGGGAATAAATGTACAACATCGAAATATTATACTAAAATTAATTCAAGCATTTCATATAATTCTAATTTTTAAACTTTATTCTATTTTATTTTATATTGGTTGGATCCATGCAAGTAGTGTGTACATGGTACCCATGGTGGTTTCGTGCATTAGATTACAAAATTTGATATCAATTCAGGGGTATTTGAAGGGAAATTTTTAAAAATCACACATTTGTTTAGTTTTTTTTTCCTACAAAAAAATTATATTAGAAAAAAAAACTTTAATATCAACTTCAAATGGATACTTCTACCCTGAATAAATTTTACAGCCCATGAACTGGGAGTATATTTATGAAGTTATAAATTTGTAACGTTAATTTTTTTCGAATTTTAATTTTTTTAACAATATATATTAAAAAGAATAGGGTGCTCGAACTAGTCTGAAAACACCCTGTCACAGTTATATTATACACACCCTGTCACAATTATATTATACACATACTGTCACAGTTATATTATTCACACCCTATCACAGTTATATTATGCACACCCTGTCACGGTTATATTATACACACCCTTTCGTTATATTATACACACCCTGTCACAGTTATATTATACACACCCTGTCACATTTATATTATACACACCCTGTCACAGTTATATCATACACATCCTGTCACTGTTACATTATACACACCCTGTCACAGTTATATCATGCACACCCTGTCACAGTTATATTATATCTGAAATAAACTTCTTGTATTCAATTTTCTTCCAATTTTAATTGTAATTCATCTTTCCATCATGATCTTGGTTAAGTTTAGAAAGTCAAGTATTCTTTGAAGTCCCGATAACCACCAATATATTACCGAGTTTTTAGAATTATTTGTCAAAACTGTTCGTAGAGAATATGTGTTTGTTTTACATACATACAGTTACGTTTCATATTTTACTTAAATCTACTGCGTAATATTTCTTAGAATGGGTAGGGGAGGGGGGGGGGGGTATTATGATAACTTTTATGATGACGAAATAAGATAAAAGCAAAAGAACATTTTACAAAATTTAGTTTTCTAAATGGTCATTTTTTTTTTAAAAAAAGTGACCATTACTTCATATTTGCAACCTGATGTCCTATTCGAAGACCTTTAATATTTCAAACTATAAATTTTGCTAGCACTAATAGTCAAAATTTTAAATCGAGTTTTTTTAAGTAACACATTTAAGTAATAATTAAATGCTTACTAAAATTAGTTGATATTTATTAGTTGATAAATAAGGCTTGCATATTTTTTTCATTTTGCAAATTCAATGTTAAAAGCAATTATATCTCTTTGTACACCTGGTTTATTATGAAATACTCCTAGGTCTTGAATACACATAAACCAACCAGTTTTACGCTAAGCCTTCCCTCACAACCAGTATATCTAGCTTTTCATCAAAATTTTATAATTTTATTATCCTGATATATTTGCAACCTGTGATATTACAAACTTTGCATTCTGATAGACCAAAATGTCAGATTTTAATATATCAACGGTTTACACCATCATGTTGCAAAGATATATGGATTAGAAAATCAATACTTTGAACAAGAAATCTGTCCTGGTCGCAGCGTTCTGTTTCGGGAAAACATTCTTCATTAGTTTGTAATCTTCAATATCTATTATTTCTATTATTTTTTGTTTTCAAAAAATTTTTTTTAGTATATTGGGATTATTTAATTTAAGGTTTATACAAAGAAAATCATAAATTCCAAAAACGAAGTAAATAATTAGAAAACTCATTGTACGTGTATTTTTCGAGAAAATTAACCATTTTAAATTCCAGATATCGAGCTATGTTGGCCATCTTACTGTTCGTCACATTTTTGGGAATGTCCGCAGGTAAACAAGGTTTATTAAAAACATATAAATATATATTATGTATACAAACAGGGTTACAACCAGGGAGTAAGGAATAAAAGGGAGATATAACTGAGATATATCTCCCTTCTATTCCTTACTCCCTGGTTGCAACAAACACTGAGACATTAGAATTTCTTAGAATCTTGTTCCCAAACCTTTCAACATTCAGAAAATTAAACCTTTGAATTTAACTCATGCTGCTGAGGTATAAAAACACAAAACAATTTGTACAGCAATTAAAATGGAAACATTATCCGTGATTTAATCATCAGCTGTATGTAATTATATATATTATATATAAATCCAATATATATATATATGTTTATCTTGAGCTAAAAACTCTAGAATAAGATATTCTTAATCCCGATTACTTAATCTGATTATCCAATGTACACACTTTTGATTTTCTTCTTAAACCGTTCTTTCTTGGATACAGAAGAGAAAAATCAAAAACCGGTTTTTTTAAAATTCGAGCTTTCCTCCCATTTCTGTATATAATCTGAAATAGCGCGCAAAATTTCAAATTTATCGGCTTCGTATACGCGACTCTGATTGGTTGAATTTTATACACTTTTCAGGATTCAAATACAAGATTAGATTAGTCTCAATATTATGAAAAAGAGAGGATCATGCATTTATCTTGATATCCACCATTCTAAAGTTTGAGCTCTGATGAAACAACATTTTCACTTTTTTTACCACTTATAATGCACCTACATAATGTATTTGCTTCACATTCTTCAGGGCAATACATATTTCATACAATATAGAGTTATTTATTATTTGTTTATTGAAATTATTGTAAATTAGCTTCATAAATAATTCATTCGACTTTCTACGCGTAATTACTTTTAAATTACATTTTAAACATTAAATAATACGAATTTGTGACCATGATATTCATATTCATTAACTCTTTGTTTAAGTTCATAAACTCTTTGTTTAAGTTCATAAACTTTTTGTTTCAGTTCAAAAATTCTTTGTTCAAGTTAAGAAACTCTTTGTTTCAGTTCATTAACTCTTTTTTTAGTTCATAAACTCTTTTTTTCAGTTCATAAACTCTTTGTTTACATTCATAAACTATTATTTTAAGTTCATGTACTCTTTGTTTTAACTAATAAACTCCTTGTTTAAGTTAACAAACTCTTTAGTTTTAGTTCATAAACACTTTGTTTCAGTTCATACACTCTTTACTTCAGTTCATACACTCTTTACTTCAGTTCATACACTCTTTACTTCAGTTCATACACTCTTTATTTCAGTTCGAAACTCTTTGTTTAATTGTAAAAACCCTTCGTTTTAGTTCATAAACTCTTTGTTCTATAGTTCATAAATTCGTTTTTTAAATTCATATACTCTTTGTTTAAGTTCAAACTCTGTGTTTTTAATTCATAAACTCTTTGTTTTAGTTTAAAAACTCCTTTTTTAAGTTCACAAACTCTTTGTTTTAGTTTATAAACTCCTTGTTTAAGTATATAAACTCTTTGTTTTAGTTAATTATCTCTTTGTTTTAGATTATAAACTCTTAGTTTAAGTTCATAAACTCTTTGTTTTAGTTCATAATTTCATGTTAATTATAACTTTTAACGTGTTGAAGGTGAAGAATGTAATGAACTACAGGATCCTATAAAGCGGGATCAAGGATTGGGACCGTTTAATGTTTCTAGAGTTGAGAGGTCAGAGAGCGGAATTGAGGCAAGCTTTTGATATAACTGGAGATCTTTATATTTTACGGAACTAATGTTATATAATTTTATAATATTATTTGGGAAGGTTGCATCACGTAATTACAAATTTTTCATTTTGAGAAAATATCTTACAGGAACAGTAAGCGTAATTTCCAGTGACCATTCATGCAGAGATGACAATGCCTGATTTACAATAGTACCCTTGAAAGCTTTGTCTGATCAAGTATCAATTAGATTTCAATGTTTACGTTCCTTTAAAATATCTATTTTCATTGCGGTTTCTTGCGAAAGTGACTTGTTTGTAAACATATCGGGTGTAGCAGTGAGTCTGTTTCAGGGAACTTAGAGCTTGTCCGGGCAAGGCAATATGCCCTACTTACATCGCGCCGACATACATACACGGGCATCGCCGGGTTCTGTCAATAGTTTTAAATATTTCAGGGGAAACTAGTTCCCATCAGTGAAGCTTCTCATCCCTTCAAAAATGCATTCTATGAGGTAAGTTTGATTTTAAAACTATTTAATTATGTAATCCAGACAAGGATAGCTAAACAGTAAATTTACATCATACGCGTTTTCTAATATTTCGAGGCATTTTTTGCCTCTTGTGATATAGTCTATATTTTCTATTATACAGGGGGATTCGTATGTTGTTAATTATGCAGTACGAGAAGGAAGACCCGGGGATGTTGTTTACTACTGGCAGGTATAAACCGGTTTTTAATGTTTACTTCTGGCATTTATAAACCGGTTTTATATTGTTTACTTCTTGTAAAGGTATAAACCGGTTTTATAATGTTTATTTCTGGCAGGTATTAACCGGTTTTATATAGTTTACTTCTTGGCAGTATAGCAACTAAGCTTGTTTTATATTGTTTACTTCTGGCAGGTGTAAACCGTTTTATTATTGTTAACTTCTTGCAGAGAAAAACCGGTTTTATTGTTTACTTCTGGACTCCGGTATGTATAAACTGGTTTTAAATCGTTTTCTTCTGGCGGGTGTACATCAGTTTTATTGTTTACTTCTAACAGGTATAAACCGTATATGAATTGTTTTTGTTTTTGTTTTGTTTACTTCTGGTAGGTATAAACTGGTTTTATAAAGTTTACTTCTTGGTGGTATTAACCGGTTTTGTATTGTAAACTAATGTGTGGCATAACCCATTTTTATTGTTTACTTCTGGGTGCTTTAAACAAGTTTTATATTGTTCGAGTTCTTAGTGGTATAAACCAGTTTTTATGGTTTATATTGTATTCTTCTAGTGCACTAGACCGTCTTAACCGTTAAATTGTTTAATAATCTAGGGAGCTAAAAGTAACGTTTGGGAGAAGGGAGCCAGTGCAATCCTAGCAGTTCAACTTGATACTAGTATTGGAGGAGGAGCAATACAGGTACAATACAGTATTATTGGTGCAGTACACTAGAAGTACAGGTACAGTACAGTATTACTGGTGCAGTACACTAGAAGTACAGGTACAGTACAGTATTACTGGTGCAGTACACTGGAAGTACAGGTACAGTACAGTATTACTGGTGCAGTACACTATAAGTACAGGTACAGTACAGTATTACTGGTGCAGTACACTAGAAGTACAGGTACAGTACAGTATTACTAGTGCAGTACACTAGAAGTACAGGATTAGTACAGGGGTAGTACACTAGTAGTATACAGGTGCATGAAACTAGTAGTACAGGTGTAATACACTAGTAGTACAGGTGCAGTAGACTAGTAGTGCAGGTACAGTAGTAGTATAGGTGCAGTACACTAGTAGTGCAGGTACAGTACTAGTACAGGTGCAGTACACTATTAGTGCAGGTTCAGTAGTAGTACAGGTGCAGTACACTAGAAGAACAGGTGCAGTGTACTAGTAGTACAGTTGCAGTACACTAGTAGTACAGGTGTCATGTAATACACTAGTAGTGCAGGTGCCGTACGCTAGTAGTACAAGTGCAGCTTACACGAGTAGTACAGGTAGAATAAAATAAAACATAATTACATTTGAAAATTGTAGTAGAATATCAATTTACTGTTATATACAGGGTAATCAACCAAAGATGAGACGTCAGAAGTTCATTTAGTCTTTTTCCCCAAATCCTTTGTGCCTAACAACTCCAAACTTGCATCTGTCATTGTAATATTGTTTATTATATCATTCTAAAAATACATTTTAACAGAATTCGACCTTTATTATTATCATTAAAGGTTTTCAGTCGTCATCCTTCGTGGGTAACCCTATATCAATATCATCCGGTAAAATTACAATTTTAAATTATCTTGAGCAATAGTATAAGTGAGTAGGTGAGGTAAAACCTATAAAAGGCTGTCAAAAATTAATGAGTAGTCCAGATCTAAGAGTGCCAGGTTAAACCTCATCGACGATATTGTTTTTACATTACTAATGTAAATGGGAACTCTAGAAACAAGTTTTAGAACAATATAATGTGAATTCTAAACTATTTCTGTTTAGTCTCGGGTTGAAATGGGGAAGGAGCCCCTGCACTTCATCAGTATGTTTGGAGGAACTTTTGTAACCTTACAGGGCGGAGTGGTAAGTGTTCGTTTGTTTCTAGCTCTATATCTGTGTGTCTTTGAAAAGTGTTTTAAAGCTTTTTAGCCTACTAAACGTCGTTTTTATTTTTCTGAAAAGGGTTTAAATCTGGAACAATACCAATGAAAGGGGGGTCGTCTGTCTATAAAACATGTTTCTCTAAAATACTGTTTTAATCTTCAAAAGTAGGTCTAATATGCGAAAATGTGCTAGGTTTTGTAAAGGATTTTTAAAAAAGATTAGAATATCAAGAACCTAGAATATAGGTATCTATTGTTTTCTATTAAAAATCTTTGTATTGATAATTAATATGCACAGTTATTGAATTGTTCTGTAATATCTGTAGAATAGTAATTGTATGAGGAGAAAATATATATTTATATATAAAATTTGATATTTTTAACTTTTTTCAGTTTAAATATACTTTCTGTATATAGATGTTAAATCATATATTTTCCAAGACAATATGTTTGATGGGTCTGAACCAATTTTCAGTTTAGGCTAAAAATATGTATAACTAAGCTTTCAAGGCGCTTCGCGCCCATCTTTGATTCCAAATTTTTATAGTGCTCTTTTATCATGTATTTTTTAAGGCAATTGTCTTCAATTCTAACCATTCATAAACATTCCCTGAGATGATGTTAGGTCCCACAAAAAAGTTTTCAGCTACAAACAAACAAATAAGCAAACAGACAAGCAAAGTATAAATGTATATATATATAGATATAGATTATATAATTATATAGCACTAAATCAGAACAGTTTTTATTTTATTAATACAAAATTGTTTGGATTATATAATTATATAGCACTAAACCAGAGCAGTCTTTATATTTATAAATACAAAATTGTTTGGATAATATAATTATATAACACTAAACCAGACCAGTTTTTATATTTATAAATACAAAATTGTTTGGATTATATAATTATATAGCACTAAACCAGAACAGTTTTTATATTTATAAATACAAAATTGTTTTGATTAGCTCCTCTTTAGTCAATATCATTGTCATATATATTATTTTGAAAACTAGAGACATAAAATTTGACAGTGAATATTTTTCAAGATGTGAAACAGCTGTTAAATCAAAATATGATATATATGCATATCTTCACTGCAATACACTTTCACATGATTTTACTGTGTATTGCTTACATAATATTTCTTGTTTATTCTTCACAATTATATATATCTATATCTATATATATATATATATATATATTGTTTGTTTTCCAATATTTGGTTTATGTAGGAAAAGAACGAAGCGGAAACGGATACGGATGGAACGATGCTCTTCAAGGTGAAAAAATTCATAAAATTATAAAAAATTGTTTTCAATCCATTTAACTTCCATTCTTTTCAAATAAATAAATAAATTTATAGAAATCATGATATTGATAATATTAATGATGATTTTGTTAATAATGATAACTTTGACAATTTGACAATATAAAATTAAGGATATAAAAGACAATGATAATGATGATATTATAACGATAAAAATATTCTGTTGCGCGGAATTGTTCTCGAATTGCGCGGAATCGCGTAGAATTTTGAGGGCTCGCAATTGTGCGCGAGGAAAATCAACTTGTAGCGTCGTAATCGACAGTATAGGACCATAAACTTTAACTGTAACTGTGGGTGAAAATCCGTACCTGTAATCCATCTTTGTGTTACCGAAACCAAATCAAAGAAAATTCTCTTCTGGAATCACGTTGTAGAATCAAAACTGAAAAAAGAACTGTGTCCGAATTTAATGAATTTAAGCCACATCTCAACTCCCCCAAAAACCGGTTTCAAATGAGCGCCAGCTTATATATTGAAAATTTGAATACAATTTTAAGTTGAACCAACCATGTTTGAGCCCCGGCTTAAATTTAAGCCGCGGCTCAAATTCTTTAAATTCGGCCTTGGAATGGGTAAATCATAAACTCAAATATTACATAAACAAAAATAAAACTGAGTATTCTGAAACACCACCAACTCTCAAGCACACAACTAATCCAACACTCGACGCGGCAAACAACTCCTTTCGGATCGCAGGAAATTTAAAAATAATGAAAGTCGTCTTCCTTCAAGAACCATTACTTTAGCTGGTGTATCTAATAGATGGAAAACTCGTGGGTTAAATCTCAAGATAACATTGAAAACTCTGAAATAAAAAGAGATCTGGGTACAATCCTGAGCATGACTTGCACCATAAGCGCATAACGACGCTCAACAATGGACTGACGCAAACAATCTCCAACTTGACCAATAGTAAATCTCTACCATGCAATACGTTTGGGCTTAGGAACTGCCAATCTGTGACTGGTCCTTGGACCTTGGATACGAAATCTCTAGAAGACCATGAAACACCACTTGGGTTGGAAACCCAAATTATAATATTAATCATAGCTATAATACTAATGATAATAATGACAATAATAACAATAATAATGATAATAGAAATAGAAATATAGATGATAAAAATGAAAATAATGACGATTATAACAATACAAATAATATTGTCTGTTTGAAGGTAACCTCCCAATGCAATAAGGCTGGATTTGGAACTCCTATCACGAGAACTCAACAAGTGGATGAAAATAAAGGTAAAAAAATTAAAAAAAATTACACTTTTTGTTTTTATAAAAAACACTTTGTAACAGTGCTGTTGTTCAAAGTACAGAAAAAATCATTTCAGGGCCAATATGAGAATATGGAAGAATTGTTTATAAAAAAACATGGATATATTTTCAATTGTATCTTTTATGTATATATATACAGGGTGTCCCACGAAACATGACAGTATGCAGGACGACTTGAATGTCGTCTTGATTTTTGATTTTCAAGTCGTCTTGCTATTGTCATGTTTCGTGGGACACCCTGTATATAAATTATATATATATATTACATATATTCAATTTATTGTTCAATCAACAAAACAGATAAACAGTTAAGATAAGCTAAGAACTATAACTTATGATAATTATCTATATAATGTCTGAATTATGTAGCTAGCTTGAATGACGAGGATGTATTTATTCTGAAAACTCCAACCAGTCTCTTCATTTTTCAAGCTGAGGTACAGTTTCTTCATTTACGTAGAAAATGATTTCATTTTTAAGAGGACTGTACACCTAATTTCAACCTGTAAAATGTCATATCCACTTCACAATAGTGCCGAGAAAGGTTTAGTTTATTAAGATTAAATGAGATATCAATGTTTTTCTTTTTGAAAATTAACAATTTTCAAGCTAGAAAAAAAATCATATCGGCCACATTTTTTTATCTAAGAAAGGTGAAAGGCCAAATCTAGAAGTACCATTGTGAACCGGATTTCGCCTTTTTTAAATGGAGGGTCCCTGAAAACTACTGCTCCCTTATGAAATCATTATAAAAAGTGTTTAAATTTATATTTTAATGTTTAGGGTGCATCTGACGAGGAAATTGCCATTGCACCAAAGGAAATCATCAAATGAATTGAGAAAATAAAATTTGGTTAAGCATTAATTCCTTAGATTGGTATTTGCCTGTAATAAATATCGGGTCACATGATATTCTGTAAACCTGCAGTACGTTGTACATTATTAACTATTTATTCTATAAAAAATACAGCTATCCCCATATTTATATAGGGTAGGGTACAGGGTGGAAAAAAAGTCTGGTCTGTGAACAGCCTTTACAGGGTTAAAACCCGTTCTTGATAATTAGAACGCGTTCCTGCTTTTAGATGTCCTGACGGGTTCTCTTAAGCTACATGGTGTCCCACATCATATTAGATCGTCAATCGGTCTAAATTACGATTTTCGGGACTAATCAGAAAATTTAAGAAGAATGAGTTATTTTGAAAAATTGAATAAGGTTAATATAAGAATTTTCTTGCGGAAAATGATAGGTTTTTCGAGTATTATGGGTTTATTTTGGCGTTGAAACTTGGGGATAATCTAATATGATATGGGACGCTCTGTAATATCTGTTCCGTTCCATTCTTCTCCGTTACGTTCTAATATTTTTAAGAACGCGTTCTGTTCTTTTTTTGGAACGATGCGATTGTTCTTGATAGTTCAGTTCGTTCTTAAGAAAGAACGATCGTTCTTCAAGAACAACGCCCAGCCCTAACAGTAGCCTGCTGGATTGTGTCCTGGGTGACTTTGATAGTGGACGGTTGTACCTGGACTGATACAGTATAAGACGAAGTTTTAAGAGTATGGCATTTACTACAGGCCTAGTTACCAGTATACTGAAGACGACCATCTATAGAAGCTTATATGAAACTAGCGCCATTGCCCGTGGAATTTTAAAAATATCGAATATAAAAAAGAAGTTAAAGAAAAAAAATTCCAATTTTTTAAGCATTTGTTAACCCCAGGGTACCCATATGAATTACCAGCTTTTCCTTATTTACTTGTAAACTTGTAATTTGAATAAAAGGTTGTAAGAAACTCAAACCTAAATAAAAACACGTCAATAAAAACACGTCGTCTTTACTGATATGAACAACGATCACTGTAGAATGTCGTCTGCATGATAATTGAAAAAAAGCCGGGCCGGATATGAAGTATTTTTCATTCCTTAACATAAATCAAGTTTATACTATCACTCCAATTATCAATAGGATTATAATTCTTTGTAGTGAACCCTGTGCAATAATAAAAAATATAATTTGTTTGATGATCTGAACTCAGGTAGCGGAAAATCTGTTCCCTGGGGAAAAGGCTTCAATCTTTCAGGGTTCCCCTCCACCAGCAATATTTACTGATGCTCTCAACTGATCCCTCTCCACCAGCAATATTTACTGATGCTCTCAACTGATCCCTCTCCACCAGCAATATTTACTGATGCTCTCAACTGATCCCTCTCCACCAGCAATATTTACTGATGCTCTCAACATCCATCTCCACCAGCAATATTTACTGATGCTCTCAACTGATCCCTCTCTACCAGCAATATTTACTGATGCTCTCAACTGATCCATTTCCACCAGCAATATTTACTGTTGCTCTCAACTGATCCCTCTCCACCAGCAATATTTACTGATACTCTCAACTGATCCCTCTCCACCAGCAATATTTACTGATGCTCTCATCTAATCCCTCTCCGCTACCAATATTTACTGATACTCTCAACTGATCCCTCTCCGTCAACAATATTTACTGATAATCTCAATTGATCCCTCTCCGGCAACAATATTGAATTGAAATTTTTCTGAGAATTTCTGAAATCTCAAGGTTTTTGTTTTTCTCGTATAGAATATCGGATCCAACAAAAATAGTTCCAATTATTTCCCAGTTGCATCATAATTCCTCTTTTAATTGCTTATAGAATTTCTGAAAATGGTTCTAATCATATTTGAATTTGCACACTTTTTCTGATTGGATATATAATTTGCATAAATATAAAATTTCTAAAGTTACCATTTCTCTGTATATTTTATTTATGTTCTGTTACGTTATCTATTTATGTATGTGTATAAGCACTGAGCAAAACTAGCAGTTTCACCGAAATAATTTGTGAAAAGGTTTGTTTTAATTTTCTAAAAAACTGCCATGAGCAAGGCACTTAAGGTTCTGAATATCTGGAGTCAGTCTTTTTTTAATTTGTTTATTCTTTTTCAATTCTAATCCTGATGTTTTGAATTATGAACCCATTTTTGAAAAAGTCATTTTAAAAAAACATTAAATAGTTTCTGTTATATCACGGCCCCTATTTTTGAAAATGCCGTCTTAAAACATTCTTTTTAGTTCGAAGGGAAGAATAAAATTTAAAAAACTATAAAAAGATTAATCAGACTCAGAACTTCCAAACCATTTTACAGGTTCTTTCAAATAATATCAAATACATCTTACAAAATTTATTCTTTGATGACAAACTTTCCACTTCTATTTTAGAAGTTTTTCTCTTTCTGAACTTGAGGATATTAGATTGCCAAACATCCAGCAAACCTGAACAATTAATAGAAATATTATTTATCAGATAATTATTCAAATTATTTCTGCAGAAAAATATCATTTGTCAGACCAATATTCAAATCATATCTGCAGAAAAATATCGTTTGTCAGATAATTATTCAAATCATATCTGCAGAAAAATATCGTTTGTCAGATAATTATTCAAATCATATCTGCAGAAAAATATTATTTGTCAGATAATTATTCAAATCATATCTGCAGAAAAATATTATTTATCAGATAATTATTCAAATCATATTTGAAGAGAAATATTATTTGTCAGACCAATATTCATATTATATCTGTAGAAAAATATCATTTGTCAGACCAATATTCAAATCATATTTGCAGAAAAATGACATTTATCAGACCAATATTCAAATCATATCTGCAGAAAAATGACATTTATCAGATAATTATTCAAATCATATCTGCAGAAAAATATTAGTTGTCAGATAATTCTTCAAATCATATCTGCAGAAAAATATTATTTATCAGATAATTATTCAAATCATATTTGAAGAGAAATATTATTTGTCAGACCAATATTCAAATCATATTTGCAGGAAAAATATTAGTTGTCAGACCAATATTCAAATTATATCTGCAGAAAAATATCGTATGTCATATAACTATTAAAATCATATCAGCAGAAATATATCATTTGTCATACAAATATTCAAATCATATCTGCAGAAATATATCGTTTGTCAGACCAATATACAAATCATATTTGCAGAAATATATCATTTGTCAGACCAATATTCAAATCATATTTGGAGAAATATATCATTTGTCAGACAAATATTCAAATCATATTTGCGATCTAAATAACCTACAAACCAAGCCAAATTTTGCTCTTGCATTTATTTTTCTTGGATGTACACATTAGATTCAGTTTTCAATGTGAATTGACCAATATTTGGTCAAGGAAAAACATAAAATGATCAGATTTTTTGAACAATTTGAAAAGTCTAAAAGACCTAATATTTGAGTAGTGCGAAGAAAATGAAGAACAAGGAATATAGAAATGTCTAAATATTTGCATTTGCTATCATGTAACTATTTAAAGAATATTGTAAAAAATTTTAAATTAAAAAATAAATATGTAAAAATTGATTACATAAAGGTTTCAATGGCACCGTTGTGAATTGGACATGTCCCTCTTTTTAAATGGCTTGTCACTTAAAATAACAATGACAGTATATGTGGAGAAGAAAATTTGAGACAAAGACTAAATTTATTTACCGGTAGGAATAACACAATGCCTTCTACAAAACAGGACCATTCAAATCCAACCAGATCATAGGAATAGCTTCCAAAAGTAGTACAAGCTAACCCACTCAGCTCCCAACACATTAACCATATACTGCTTACAACAGTCTAAACAATGAATATGAAATATCAAAGCAATTTTAACATTTCTAAAAGAATTTTCTCCAAATAAAGTTAGAATTTTGAATGGGTTTAACTTTTAGCTTTTTTTAACATATTTGAAGACCTGTATAGTAGGGTACAGTGAAAATCAAATATGTATATAATTAGTCTTCTGTTGTAAATTAAAATTTTTAAAACATTTCGTGAACTTTTTTAATTAAAAATACCGTGATTCTCCATTTCGAAATTTTTTGAGATTGATACAAAAGCGAAAACTCATCCAATTTCATGGCATATCTCATTTGCATGCACATTTCAGAAAACAGTGAAAAAAAACTATAATTTTTAAAATGTTTAATGGTTTTAACGAGTTGTGATGCTCTGACTATATTTCTGAATAGGGTTCGAATCTAAATTCAACATTTATCCAATAAAAAGAACTGAAGTGCGAAACAAAAATATTGGTCATTTTATCATCTTAGAATTTGGGAAGTACGAAATCTTCAAGTAAAAAAAAAAACTAACTTGCCCAGCCCTAGAATTATTGCCTTTAGACTATTGAATATTTTTTTTAATCCCCATGAAGCCAACCTTTATGTGTTCAGTTTGAGGAAGTTCTGAAGTCCAGAAGAGCGTGTGAGCAAATAATCCCTTACTAACCTTTGTGTGTTCAGTTTGAGGAAGTTCTGAAGTCCAGAAGAGCATGTGAGCAAATAATCCCATACTAACCTTTGTGTGTTCAGTTTTAGGAAGTTCTGAAGTCCAGAAGAGCATGTGAGCAAATAATCCCATACTAACACAGGCTGTACCCAAACCTACCAGAGGGTTAACAACAAACAACAGTTTAGATAAAAGAATAGTTTTGTGCTTTAAAGGGAGAGTCTGGCTAGACATGGTAGTTGAATTGAGAATGCAATATTGAAGAGAAATTTGTTAGAAATCATTTGAGACCTAAACCTACTACCTACATATAAGACATTTGTATGGTGAATAATTATTCAGAACGAGTAAAAAACTTAATCATTAGGGAGTGTTTACGAAAAATGAAAGAGGGTATAGGCTTACAGAGAAAAATTATAGATGGTGATCGCTACTTGTCTTACTTCTATCTGATGTGTTTATACGGAGAAAATTGTTAAAAATGGCTCATAACGAAGAACGTAGCGTCCACACAAATTCAGACTCGGATCGTAAAAAACCAATTTAATTCAAACCATTAAGATAACCTATAATCATCGATAATTTTTCGACGCACTCATATATAGTTGATACTTCTGAATTTGTATGGACGCTACGGTCTCCAGCATGAGTCGTTTTTAACAATAATCTCCTTATAGATGCAACAGATAAAAGTAAGATTACTAGCATCAAAAGCACTTATTTTTTGCCGTTATTAAGTCTACGCCCCCTTTCATTTTGCGCCAACTCTCCCTTTAAGGGGACTGTAAGGTGGCCTTAAATTTAACCCTAAATAGGCTTTTCGGGGGGGGGGCGTGGGACGCCCCCCCCCGTCTATACATAGATTCAGAACACCTAGCCTTTACAGGGTAAAAGAGGGGTACCCATTAAATATTTGACTGACTCCAAATTTACGACTTTTTACATAACATTTAAAAGATATACAAACTGATATCTCTGTCATCGATGATCAATCAAAGGTTTAAAGGGTTCCTTTGTGAATCGGGGGGGGGGGGGATCCCTTGAAATAACGCTGTAAGTGTGAGATGGAAACTTTAGATAATAAAATAAAATCTGTTTTTGCTCCTTGCACAGTTATTAGGACAATTATTTGAGGAACTGATACAAAATGTTCCAATCCATGGAGAGGACCTTGTATTCCTGAACAGTATCAAATTAGGTTTGTAGTGTCAAAATACAGTCCATGTAATATATGACCAAATTGTATCTTCTATATGTATAAAATTGTAATCTCATATTTCTCTGTTTGTCCGATCATAACTCATGAACACCTTGACGGATTGGCTTCAAACTTTGATTGGAGAACTCGGGAGAACCACGAGAATGTTCTTAACTTGGTTTTTTAAATGTTTAAAAAGCATAAGCTGTAAGAAACTTTTTCCGCTTAAGTCGGGTTTGGACTTTGGACTCAAGTCAAGGACCGGTCGTCATCGCATATTTTCTACTTTAAGAATGAAGAAATATGGGTGTCTGTATATAAGTGTTCAGATGAATAAGTAGTACCTAGCATTAGCATAGCCATAGCAATCACTATATTTCCTACAAATAAAATAAAAAATAAATTATTTTTTATCTTAGGATTTTTTGGAACTTTTTATAGTCTTCGAATAGCAATATATTTATTTAGGACAATTAGGAGGTCTATTAATGAGGAAAAAACTTGAAACGGCCTTATTATTTTTCATGATAACAAGCACCAGATCTAGAATTTGTATTTGAAAAACTTTTAAGAAATAGATGATAGATATGTCTGAGAATAGATGTAAAAAAATTACCATCATTATTTTTTTTAAGTACTTCATAAAAAATTCGGAAAAAGATATGCCATACTAAACTGTGGTGTTCTTAAAATACAGACAATCAATAGCTGTATTCAAATCAAAATATATATTTCAAAAAAAAATTTGTTCAGCAAGAAATGACACTGTATGAAGTTCTTACCCATTAGCATTGTTTTCAGTGGTGAAATTCCAGAGTCTAAGAGAACTCCTACGATTGGGTTCATAATAGTATATGCTATTGGAAACCCCATGAAAACTAATCCAACTTCTCCAGGATTCAAACCAAACTATAAAACAAGGTGAAAGGAATTGAGTCTTTGCTAAACTAAACTAAGCAATGCATGTCCGATTTACAAAGAAACCTTTAAAACCTTTGCTTGATCAAGGATTTTGTACATGTCTCTTTATAAATGGAATGTCTCTTGAAATTATGTATACAGTTCCGTTAACCAGATATATCTATTAAGGGATAATATACAGATAAAAACATGCAACTGCTCTGATCTATGTGCGTAACAGCTAAATTTGATACTGCTCAGAGAAAAATTTCCGAAGACACAGTGGTTGTATTGCATTATATCTATTGTACTAAGCAACAGACGTTGTACCTCAATGGAATTTGCGTACAAATAAAGCTGAGAGAGACAGTTAGTGAATAGTGATATTAGATCGAATTCAACATCTTTTATCGCAATATCACAACTTTTGCTTTGTTATTCCTGAGGTTATCTGTAGCTCTTGTTTTGCAAAAGGATTTAATTTATACTTTTTGAATAGTCTGTGATTTATGATTATCACCACTAGAGAAAGGCACGTTTGACTTTTTTCATTTCGTTCGTTCATCCATCGTTAACGACTCATTTGGTTCGTTTTTTTTCAATCGTTCAATAAAATTGATTTCTTACGATCTCAAAATTATCGTTCATTTACCATCTATTTCGTTTGATTTCACACTAAACGATCGTTTAGTAATATAAACAATAGTTTTTTTCAAAATTTGTTTTAAAAAATGGTCCATTCAGTGAAACATATCTTTTTAAATAATTTTGTTCCAAAAATATTTTCTTTCATTAAAAACACGATCGTTTTATTCAAAGTCTTTTAGAAAATTTGTTTGTGCATTCAAAGATCGTTTTAACGATTTCAATTTGTTCGTTTTTAAAAAAACAATCATTTTTTATTTCTCTGAACGACACCTTTTTCCACAGTAAATTTCGTTCGTTCTCAAAAATTTTGTTCGTTCAAAAAAACGACGCCCATCTCTAATCACAACAGAAAAATGTTACCTTCTGCATCAAGTAAGGTTCCAATGAGGCCGAGTACAAGGTGTTAGAATTGCCGCAAATCAAAAACAAAGCTATGCTTGAAATCATATGGGGACAACAGACAAGCTCTTTCCAGGAGGAGAATGTGCTACATCTATATATTATAATTACCCAGTTCAGCTCAATTTGTTTAAATCAAATGCGAAAAAAAAACTAAACAGTCGTCGTCGCTACTTTCGATTTTAATTCTGACTTTTAACAAGCTTTCAAAGAGCGTTGATAAACATGGAAACAAAGAGAAGCTAACGATTAACAATTTTCTCTTCGTTTATGTTTACGTAATTTGAAAAAAAGCTTGTAAGAAATTAAAAATTGAAAATAAAAGTTCTCTTTATTGTATTGATATTAACGCCGAACACTTATTTAACCAGGAAAACAATACATTATAATAACCCAGTTCAAATTATTTTACTTTACCAGAGCTGAAAATTTGAACTGGATACCGGTAATCCCAGATGTCTGTATTCACTTTCGACACTTTTGATTTTATGCTTAATCTTCTCTTTTGGATTTCCCGGCTGGATTGCAACCAATGAGAGTTCTCTCTCTCGCGGGCGCAAAATTTCAAAATTTCTCGAATCTGATTGGCTGTTCGAATTCTGCAATCAACACTCTGATTGGTTGAATTTTATACACTTTCCAGGAAACAAACTAAAGAAGAATTTAATCTTGAGATTTGTAATAAAAAGAGGAGATCAAGCATTGATCTCGATGTTCAAAACTAAAAAGTTTTCAGCTCAGGGAAAAAAAGATAATCATAAAATCAAATGGTACATAGGTGATATCAACCCTTAGTATTAAAATGCAGAAACATTTTTGCTCTAACTTGATGGACACTTTGTTACAATAATCTTTGTACAGGCTGCATTTGGTTCTAAATAAAAGAGATATATGGCTGGCATTTTGCATGCCGTCTCCAATTGTGGCCATTTACACGGAGCGAAATCAGGGGTTTTCCGTAAAAACCGAAAACGACTTGCATCTTCAGAAATGATTCGTTCGGCATAAAATGTTCACAAAAGACTCATATTGGGCCACATAACCCAAAAAACGTTTTTAATCCCCCTTCGTTTGAGACCCTAGTTTAGGTCATACCTAGTTCAAGAAATTCTCTTTATATATAATTATTTTTTGTTTATTTAAATAAAAAACAATAAGCGCGAACATTGTTGAAAGAATTCAAGACAAGTTACCTAAATATTTCCACCACATTTCTCATTACTTACTTCATGGTCTCCGTAGAAGCAGAGTCTTTGGAAGTGGGGACTACCATACCAGAGAACACAGTTAACAACACAGTTAAACCACCAAGGGTCCAGAATGGCATAGAAAATCCCCAATAATTATAGAAGAGACCTCCAAGAGATGGTCCAGCTGCCATTCCAGCACCAAAACATGACTCAAGGATTGACTAGACATAATACAGGGTTACCCACAAAGGATGAGGCGCAAGTCCCTTTCGCAGAGAAACTGCAAATGAAAACAAACAGTTTAAAGAAATAAAAACATTAATATCTAATTAATACTTTATCAGAAAAAGTTTTCAAGGGCCATTGCAAATCAGGCATTGACATTTTTGCAAAAGGGTTACTTGAAATTCCGAGTACAGTTCCTCTAATAATGAAAAAACGGCAAACATGGTAATAAAAGTTAAAGTAGCAGTAAATGTATGCTATGTATGTATAATAGAATACTCATTTCGAGAACAACTCATTTCGTTCGTTTTTTCAATCGTTCAAAAAACATTGATTTCGTTTGTTCTTAAAATTATCAAAATTTCTTAATGAACTACTGTTCAGAAAAGCGATCGTTCAGAAAAAAACTATATTTAAAAAAGAATTTGTTTTCAAAAAACATTTGTTCAGTTAAAACTACAGTTTTTTATTTGTTCCGTAAAAACATCCGTTCAATAAAATAACGATCTTTAATTCCAAATCTTCTTCTTTTTAACAACTTTATTCAACACAAAACAAATCAACAATGGTATTTTCATTTATGGAATCATAGAGAAAAAACGACGAAAAACCCGTCTCATTCTATCTTCATTCCTATTGCTGTAATGCTTTAATTCCAAATCTTTTGGAAAGATGGTTCGTTCAGTAAAAAAACTATAGTTTATTCAAATTTGTTTTTAAAAAACATTTATTTTTTCATTTCTTTGAACTATCCATTTTGTTCGTCCTTCGTTCGTATTTCTTGAACGACACCCTTGACCCTATTTCATATAATATTTCGTTCGTTCTCATAAATTTTGTTTGTTAAAAAAACGATGCCCATCTCTGATTTTCTAGTATATTCCAGTATATTCCAGTATAATCCAGTATATATTTTAGAATAATCCAGTATAGTCCAGTATATTCCAGTATATTCCCATATATTCCAGTATATTCCAGTATATTCCATTATAATCCAGTATATTCCAGCATATTTCAGTATATTTCAGTATAATTCAGAATACTCTAGTATAATCCAGTATATTTCATTATAATCCAGTATACTCCAGTATATTCCAGTATATTCCAGTATAATCCTGTATATTCCAGCATAATTCTGTATATTCCAGTATATTCCAGTATATTCCAGTATATTTCGGAATATTCCAGTATATTTCAGTATAATCCAGTATATTCCAGTATATTCCATTATAATCCTGTATATTCCAGTATATTCTAGTATATTACAGTATATTCCAGTATATTCCAGTATAATCCAGTATATTCCAGTATACTCCATTATAATCCTGTATATTCCAGTATAATCCAGTATATTCCAGTATATTCCAGTATAATCCTGTATACTCCAGTATATTCCAGTATATTCCAGTATATTCCAGTATATTCTAGTATAATCCAGTATATTCCAGTATATTCCAGTATATTCCAGTATAATCCAGTATATTCCAGTATATTCCAGTATAATCCTGTATACTCCAGTATATTCCAGTATATTCCAGTATATTCCAGTATATTCCAGTATATTCTAGTATAATCCAGTATATTTCAGTATATTCCAGTATATTCCAGTATAATCCAGTATATTCCAGTATATTCCAGTATATTCCAGTATATTCCAGTATAAGCTTACAATGGATTTTCCCTGATGCATTTCTGAGAACTGTGAGGAGCCTGTAAAATACATGACACTGAATGAAGAGCTAGAGTTTGTTTTAAACTCAAATTTGACATTTGACAAATTTGACATAATGATTTTTAAATATTTTTGTAACCAAAAAAAGTTTTTTCCAAATATTTGTTTTTCTTCTCTCTGCTAAAAACAAACATAGAAAATAAATGTTCTTCTGCAGGGTGTCCCAATAAACATAGAAATTTTCTTCAGTTGTTTATTGTGTCTCAAAAATTGACGAAGATACTTAGACAATTTTGATTTAGTAATTAAATAGAAATTGTACAAACTTTCCAATATCTCTGTCAATTTAGAACTTACAAAAATGGTAGACAAAATTTTGAAAATCTCAAAACCAGGCGAATTTGATATAAGATGTTTAAACTAGAATACTGCATAACTGTGTTCATGAAAAAATGTCACATGGATCGAAGACGATACAAAAGTCGTCACTTAATTCCCTTCCCATGTGTATATTTGGACACCCTGTATAACGAAAGTGTTTTAGTTTACAGTATACAAATATACTCCAAGCCTCTCAAATACCTAAAGTGAATGCTGTGCTGGAAACTAAAGATTCTCCCACTGCACAAATCATTCTCAAGATTAGAGAAACCCAGAAGAACAAAACTGGGCTCTCTGTATAACTCAAAAACCTTGAAAGAAGAAAAATGTAAACGGAAAAAAGAAAAATGTGTCAAAGATAAAAGAATTGTGTCTCTGTGACAAATGCTGAATTTAAAATTCCTATATCAATTCAATCCATAGACCTTCGATATTCCAAACTTTGAATTATGTTAGATCATTAATAGACTAATTTTAAATTATCAAAGTTTTACTTCATCAGAGGCCGATTTAAAAGAATTTGAGACGCGGCTCAAACATGGTTGGTTACACTTGAAATTGTATTAAGTGTTTTGAGATTTGAGCCGGCGCTCAACTGGAACCGGTTTTTTGCAGCTCAGCGAAGCTGTTTTAATTCTTCTAATTCGACCTCAGGTTTCAAAGATATAGGGATTTTAAATGTTTACCAAACAGAATGTTGGAGATTCCAGCAATGAAGGCAGCAAATACAAAAACAGATTTTGCTCCATACATTGAAACCTAAAATACATTGAAACATTAAATATATTGAAACCTGAAATATATAATTGAAGCCTGAAATATATTGAAAAATGAAATACATTGAAACCTGAAATATATTAAAACCTAAAATACATTGAAACCTGAAATATTTTGAAACCTGAAATACATAGAAACATGAAATATATCTAAACCTGAAATACATTGAAACCTGAAATATATTTAAACCTGAAATACATAAAAACCTGAAATCCATAAAAACCTGAAATATATTGAACCAGAAATTCATTGAAACCGCAAATTTATTAAAGCCTAAAATATATTGAAACCTAAAATATTTTGAAACCTGAAATATATTAAAACCTGAAATAAATTGAAACCGGAAATACATAGAAACCCGAAATACATTGAAACCTGAAATACACTGAAACCTGAAATATATTGAAACTTAAATTATATTGAAACCTGAAATACATCCTAACCTAAAATACACTGAAACTTGAAATGTATAGAAACCTGAAATATATTGAAATCTAAAATACATTGACACCTGAAATATATTATTATTATTATTAAAGATTTATTCACACACATTTAATTACATACATAATTACATATTACGTATACTAATGGTATATTTTAAGTTTGTTTTGTTATGAATGATATTAGATGCATTCATTATTCACAATCATAATCTCCAATTTCATAAACCTGCTATTTTAAAGAAATCTATAGTCACACTTTTGATAATATTTTTCTTTCAGCTAGGAATAAATTCCTAGCACTTAAAAAGTTGATACAGGAAAAGTATCAAATTTTGGTAACAATAAAAATGTAAGCAATATTTAGATCAAGTCAGCTCGTAATTAAAACCATTCTAACTGCATATAGACTTTTTCAGCATATTCTTGATGTTTCTAATAGACTCGACATCCAGACTAATCAAAGGGTGTAAAACCTGAAATATATTGAAACCTTAAAAATTTTGAAACTTGAGATATATTTAAACTTGAAATATATTGAAACCTGGAATATATTGAAACTTTAAATACATTAAAACCTGAAATATATTGAAACTTGGAATATATTAAAACCTTAAATATATTGAAACCTTAAATATATTGAAACCTAAAATACACTGAAACCTGAAATATATTGAAACCTGAAATATATTGAAACCTGAAATATATTGAAACCTAAAATACACTGAAACCTGAAATATATTGAAACCTGAAATATATTGAAACCCGAAATAAATTGCAACCTGAAATATATTGAAACCTGAAATATATTGAAACCTAAAATATATTGAAACCTGAAATATATTGTAACCTGAAATAAATTTTGAAACCTGAAATACATTGAAACTTAGAATATATTAAAACCTGAAATATATTGAAACTTGGAATATATTGAAACCTGGAATATATTGAAACCTGGAATATATAGAAACCTGGAATATATTGAAACCTGGAATATATTGAAACCCGGAATATATTGAAACCTGGAATATATTGAAACCTGGAATATATAGAAACCTGGAATATATTGAAACCTGGAATATATTGAAACCTGGAATATATTGAAACCTGAAATATATTGAAACATAGAATATATTAAAACCTGAAACATAGAATATATTAAAACCTGAAATACATTGAAACCTAAAATAAATATTTAAACCTGAAATATATTGTAACTTGGAATATATTGAAACCAAGAATATATTGAAACTTGGAATATATTGAAACCTGGAATATATTGAAACCTGAAATATATTGAAACCTGAAATATATTGAAACCTGAAATATATTGAAACCTGGAAAATGTCTAAACCTGGAATATATTGAAGCTTGAAATAAATATTGACCAAACAGATCTGTTTCTTTCTTGTTAATGTTTAATTGCTTAATAACTTGCTTATAAAAACGGCAAGAAAGTTTTCAAAGTGTTCTTTTGGGTCTTGAGGAAATATAGACCAAATTTCCAGGTTTTTTTTTTAAGAAACTGGTCTCCTTTGACTTTCTTACATAGATTAACAACAATACAGATAGACAATATCCTGAAACAGAAGCCCAAAGGAGTTACGCGCATGCCGCGTTGAATTACAAGACAGAGAGCATGCGCGCAACTTCTTTGGGCTTCTGCCTCAGGGAAATTGTGAACGAAAAACCCGTAAATCTTGAAAAGACGACATCTAGTGTTCTATCTGTATTGTTATTGATCTATGCCCTTAACTTTCTAACATAGATTCACGAAGCAACTATTTTAAAATGTGAACCTTACCAATTTACTTGAACACGGGGTGCTGAGCAAAGAAGTAATGAATGCTGATCCTGAAATAAAAATCATAGATTAATAAAAATACATATAAAACACTAGATGTTGTCTTTTCAAGATTTAAGGGTTTATCGTTCACCATAATCCTGAGGAAGATGCCCAAAGGAGTTATACGCATGCCACATTGAATTAAAAGACAGAGAGAGAGCATGCGCGTATTCTCAATATTTATTTTCTGTGACTTTTTCAACAATTACAAACGTTACTGGATAAATGCTTTGTCCTTAATCAGGCAAAGTTTAAAGGGTACTGTTGTAATTCGGACACGCCACTTGACACATGGAGGATCATAGGAAATTTTGCCTACAATCCCTTTAATCGTTATAGGAGAGTATAGGAGTTTAATTTATAAATAACTTAAACTTACCCATGACAAGTCCTGTTTGGGATACAGACACCTGCCTTGCTAAACCCTGTTATTTTATATTCATTAATTGAGAACAAAATATTATAGAATTATTTATGAATGGTATTATCAAAAATAAAGTTCTTTTGCATTTAGAACAAGTATTCTGTAAAGAAAGAACATAGTTTAAAGAAATAGAAACCCGAAATTGTAACATTCATAACTGTAAATTTGGAGTCATGGTTAATTTAAAGTCAGTGGACATAGCAAACCTTAATTTTGAAATCCATTTCACCCGTTAACCCTATCCCCGCTGGGGTACTTGAAAACCAGGATACGCTGGGGGTCAATTTGACCCCCCCCCCTCTAAATCCCATGTTTTATGTCCAAATATGACAAATGATACATCATTAGAAAGCTCTTGTGCTCTGCTTTTAGAATCTGCAAAAAAATTTGCAAATTTGCGAAAATTGAATTTTTTATCGCAAAATCCAGTTTTATAGTAACAATGTTTGCAAAAAAAAATTTGTCCAAAAAATGACAAATTATACATTTTTGAAAAGCCCTTGACCATGCTATTTCAAATATGCAAAAATTTTTGCAAAATTTTAAATAACCTGATTTTTAATCAAGAAAAACTAAAAATGTGCAAATTTCCTTTGACAGGTTGTTTGCAAATAATTTGCAATTTTTTTTTCGCAAAACTTGTGCAATCCGTTTCCTTATGTCATAGGCTTTCCAAAAAGCTAAATTTTATCAAAATCTGACAAGTGAAAGTGGGTCAAAACAAAGATTTAGTTTGCTACAGGCAAAAGCAGTCATTCAGGCAGTGTGCCTGAGGACTCAGGCAGTTAGTATTAAAGCCCGGTTTTAGGCCTAAAGGGAGGGCTTTGGGTATGTAAGAAAAGTCAGAAAATTTCAACAGCCTCAGACCAATACTTTTTGAGTTGTGTAAAAAAACTGGGGGTCAAATTGACCCCCCCCCAGCGGGAATAGGGTTAAATGAAGAATTCTCGTATTTTCGTTAAACTACTCATTTTATATGCATTAAAGCATTGTTTTCGACGGATTTTTAATTAAAGATTAAAATATGACTGAAATTATTTTGATAATTTGTTGTAAATAGTTTTACGTACAATTTTATTCAAAATGGGAGTAATCTAATTAACCTTTTCTGTAAAAGAGATTTTAAGATTGAAGATTTACTTAAATAATAAAAGAGCTAACTGTAAATAACATTTTATTTTGTTACTTAAAGGAACTGCATGTGTAATTTAAAGTGAGAGGTATGTCAGATTTACAACGATACCCTTCAAACTTTTGTCCGGACAATTCGTTAAGCTGAAGATTGAGTACACCGAGAGACTTGAAGTTACAGTGATAAACTGTACACTCGGATCCGTGCTGGAGTAAACTCGCGTGGTTTCTTTGCACTTAATTTCCCGCTGTATAAACAAGAATATCTACGAAATCCTTGATCAAGCAAAGGTTTAAAGGGTATCATTGTAAATAGGACATGCCATGAAAAGTCACATGAAATTATGCGTACAGTCCCTTTAACCACCTCTGATGGAAACATAGGTGTTAGTAGGGTATAAGATAAACCAGATAAAAGCATTATAGTGCAAACCAAACAAAAGTTTATAATCTTGGTAAATTCCATTCTGAAATACAAATATTAAAAGAAATATTTAGAGAAAGTGAAATTTATCTGACATTATATTGGTCCAACTTTGTGACCTCGCAGCTCCTCTAGTTCTGATTTTATCCACAAGTTTGAGAAAGGCAAATTTGTCTGTTTACAGATAAGAAATTCAAAACAGTTTTGTTCTGTTCAACAGTTCTTTGCAGTTGGGAGAGTTTTAATTGGGAGAGTTTTGATTAAAAGCAGATTAGATTTCAATCTCACCTACAGTTTACTTTAGTTTAACGTGATGAGCATGTTAAAGGAGTTGTGTTTGTAATTTCAAGCTTTTCTCCATTTAAACTGTGCCGTGCTCGATTAAAATTGGTATTCTTTAAATCTTGTTCTAAACAATAAATCCAAAATGCGCAAGTTCCTTTTTTTAGATAACTCACATAGCTATTAAAGGAACAGATGTAAATCCAAATAAGACCACAGCTCCTTTAAGGTTTAATAAGAAAAAAACAAAAAATATCTAAACAAAATATTGGATCGATTTAAAAAAAATACTTTGAACACTTTACTCAAAAAAAAAGAATTTATAAATGAAAAGGAATCTAAGTACCCAGAGTTGCTTATTTTATTGTCCTCCCTTAACTGGCAGGAAGACGACCTAATGAATGAGCTATGAAGGCATTAAACCGCATATCAAATCATACACATCTATATATAAATTTGGCTTGTCTGTCTGTCTGTTTGTTTGTTTGTTTGTTTGTCTGTCTGTTTGTTTGTATTAAATAAACGCCAAAACAGCTGAACCGATCTGGCCCAATTTTTTTGTGGGACATCGCGTGACCACATGGAAGGTTTATGAATGATAAGATTTAAAAAAAATGTGTTTTAAAGGTTTTTAATTTGGAAAAAAAATTTTAATTCTTGAAAATCCGCAATTTTTTTTTAAATCCGCAAAATTTTTCTTCTTTTTTTTGAAATGTAAACAAAAAGAACATGTTCACAATTTAAATAGAAGATGCGCGCAAAGCGCCTTGAATTTCTAGTCTTGTATAAATTTGGCTTGTCTGTTTGTTTCTATCCAATAAACGTCAAAACGGCTGAACCGATCGGGCCCAATTTTTTTGTGGGACATCACGTGATCACAGGGAAGGTTTATGAAGGATAAAATTTTTAAAAAATGTGTTTTAAAGGTTTTTAATTTTGTAAAAAAATTAAATTCTTGAAAATCCGCAAAATTTTTTCTTCTTTGTTTTAAAATGTAAACAAAAAGAACATGTTCACAATTGAAATAGAAGATGGGCGCGAAGCGCCCTAAAAGCCTAGTTAAGTTATATTTCTACATTTGATGCGATATCCACAGAGAGCTTGACAAAAATCAGATTTTGAAACAGCCTCGACTTTAAAGTGGCGTAACGCCTTAGCCTTTGGTTTTGCCTCACCAACTTACTCTTAATTATTTTGTAGCTCTAGGCATACAAATTTTAAATTTGCAACACGATTGTTTCTAGCTTAAAGGGACAAACTAGCTATGTAGGGTAGTTAAACTGAGTATGCAGTATGCAGTTTTGTAGACACATTTTTTAGGATTTATTTGAGACATATAAAACGTTTCCACGATGTATAATTACGGAGTTTGAGTGCATAATCGACGTTCAAAATCATGAATTTGTGTGGGTACGTTTTTAGAATCGGTTTTAAGTATTAAATAACGACGACGAAAAATGAAGTAAAAATTTTACAGGAAACTAATTAGATTTCTCCAAAGAAGTTTGTCAATAAATCAATACTAGAATCAATTATTTCGCTTTCAGCTTTTTTATAAATTTTATAATTTTTATAAATTTATTCGCAGATTTCTACAAATTCTTCAAATGTCGTTCTTTCAATAAAATGCGCATCTTGGTTTGCAGAGATTTCTTTGTGATATTGAACAGCTGAGGTAACTTAACTAACTATGCTTTCAAAGCATTGTTACTAACTTTTAATCGGTTATAATGTACTACTTGATATATCTATTGATTTATCATTTGTATTATGCAATGTACGTTATATACATACAATAGACTGTTGAATACTTAACCCTTTAAACTGTGAAGGGACCTGGGGGGGGCGCTTAATAATCCCTCTCCATATTTACAAGATGAGTGATTGTGTCGTAATTTTTTTTCATTAGTTCTTTCTAAAATTTAAAATTGTTGAATAAAAGGGGATCAGATGTAGGGTTGAACTCAAACAAGTGTTACATTTGATAAATGATAGATAAAGATTTTTTAATAACATTCTTTTCTAGAACATTTTATTGATTAAAAAAGCTAAATTTGTAATTAATCGTACAGTGAACTGTGAAATGTGAAGACGACATGAAAGCTAAATTTGAATCTAGTTAATGTCGGAACAATGCTAATTAGGTTTGTTAAATAGCGCTTATAAATAAATTATCAAGTGAAATTTACAGTGCACACTGCAAAATTGCCGTGTTTATATTCCTGATCTATTTAAAAACTTGAGTCTTAACGTCGACATCCCATTCCTCAGTTTTCTGGTTCTCACTCACGTGGATTTTACGGTTCTGTCAATATTCCAGAAAGCTTTGACTTTCGATCACAATTAGGCCCATTAGACATAATTTGTTAGCCTTTTTTAAATACTTTTTGGGTTGGCATATGCATTTTGAATGAAAATGTACGAAATAAGCAAATCCGTAAAATAAATGATTGTTGAATTATAGACCAAAACACGTTTGATTTCAAATAGAAGAAACCGAATGCTGCTCACTCTGGTTAGTCCGGTGTGCACTGTATTATAAATTACAATTTTTGCGGAAGTCCAACTGTATCTTATTAGATACCTTTTGGTTTCCCTCCATATTAGAGGGACATTATACTAAGAAAAACGACTAAAACAATCATTTACTAATTTTAGTATCTAATCAGTAAATGAAGGAAAAACAGAAAGGATGGGCAGTAAATGAAAGGAAAAACAGAAAGATGGGAAGTAAATGAAAGAAAAACAGAAAGGACCGGCAGTAATTGATGTCCAGTAAATGAAGGAAAAACGGAAAAAGGCAGTTAATAAAGAGAAACTGAAAGGATAGGCAGTTAAGGAAGTAAAACAGAAAGGATAGGCAGTTAATGGAGGGAAACAGAAAGAATATGCAGGTAGTGAAGGGAAAAGAGAAAAGATAGGCAGTAAATGAAGGGAAAACAGAAAGTATGAGAAGTAAATGAAGGAACAGAATTTCAGAAAGGATGAGAAGTAATCGAAGGAACAGAAAGTATGAGAAGTAATGGTTTAGGTAATAATATTTTACGATAACTCAGAGGCCTTCACTTTCGAACCCTGTAATTAATGTAGCTTTATTAACTTTGTTTTTTTAAACTTTTTTCATAAGTTTTTCATTTAAATTTAAACCAGGTTATATGTTGACTTAGTTAAGTGTATTTTGTATACCTGATGTCTAGCTGTAATTAGTTTAGCGTGAATTCTCCGTGCAACAATTTGTCAACGTAAACGTCTTTATTCCGAAATATCTTGGACATGTCTAGCAGTAGTTAGTTTAGCGTGAATTCTCCGTGCAACGATGTCAAAGTCGGATTCACAACGGAATCCCTAAAATGATCAAGTATGATTTAGATATCAATCTTTGTAATTTTTTAAAATTAATTGTTTTCAATTATGGTTTCTATGCAATTAAGTGACTTGTGCCTTTGAACTACAGTAAAACTTGTAGACATTATCAGCATTAAACACTTTTTTACCCAGACAAAATTACGCTTACAGTCCCTTTAAGAGGTTGTAAACCAAATTTAATAACTTATCTTGTTCTTCTTGTTCTTTTTGTTCTTCTTGTTCTTCTTGTTCTTCTTGTTCTTCTTGTTATTCTTGTTCTTCTTGTTCTTCTTGTTCTTCTTGTTCTTTTTGTTCTTCTTGTTCTTCTTGTTCTTCTTATTCTTCTTATTCTTCTTGTTCGTCTCTTGTTCTTTTAGTTCTTCTTGCTCTCCTTGTTCTTCTAGTTCTCCTTGTTCTCCATGTTCTTCTTTTTCTTCTTGTTCTCTAGTATATCTAGTATGGTGTCTACCTATCCCTCTATCCCTTGGATCTGACAGGCTGAAGAATTTACAAGGTTTATCCATGAAACCTGAGCTAACCATTTATTCTCAACTTTTTACATTTTGAATAGTTTATAGGATTTTTTTTGATCTGCTGTAGATTTAAACTTGGGTAAATGAAAAAAATGTAATTTTAAGGAAAAGATCAAAAGAAGAAAAGAACGAAAGTTAGAAATGAAAAAACATAAAATTGTTAATGGAAAGAACCAAATTTACCTAGTATATACAGGCCTACAAGGATAAAACTGCTAGGTAAAATTCTGTCATTCTGAAGCTTTAATTTTGTCTTAGTGGTGTGTTAAATGATTTTGTAGAAAAGTAAAAAAATTGTTTTAAGTCTTGTGGAACCACGAATGTAGATTGAAGATTAAAAAAGCTCGTATAATCGTAGCTAAAGTCCTCTTATAAACCTATATTTTTAATTTATAAATCTATTAAAGAGACAAATTTAATCAAATAGAATATAAAATGGAAAGAAAAAGACAGAAATGAATATTATCATTTTGCTTGATATTTTAGAGTATAGATTTATTTTAGTACATCTATCCGTCTATCTTTCTATCTGTATATATCTCTGTTTTTATCTATATATCTATTTATACATCTATCCATCTATCTATCTATCTATCTATCTATATATCTATCTATCTATCTAGCTATCTTCAACAGTTTATTTGTCCATTTAAGGATTATTTCTAATCTACGATAATAGTTTAATATTTTATTATCTATCTATCTATCTATCTATCTATCTATCTATCTATCTATCTATCTATCTATCTATCTATCTATCTATCTATCTATCTATCTATCTATCTATCTATCTATCTATCTATCTATCTATCTATCTATCTATCTATCTATCTATCTATCTATCTATCTATCTATCTATCTATCTATCTATCTATCTATCTATCTATCTATCTATCTATCTATCTATCTATCTATCTATCTATCTATCTATCTATCTATCTATCTATCTATCTATCTATCTATCTATCTATCTATCTATCTATCTATCTATCTATCTATCTATCTATCTATCTATCTATCTATCTATCTATCTATCTATCTATCTATCTATCNCCCCTCCCTCCCTCCCCTCCCCCCTCTTTCCATACCCCTCTCATCAAATCAACAGTATTAAACACTCAAATGACCCGTAATGGTATAATTACCGCGGACTGATAAACAGCTGCAAAATAGAGAATTGGGAGGTTTAAAAATGAAAATCTAAATAATAATCTTCGCGTTTACTTTACTTTATACTTATGCACTCTAAGATTCATTTTAACAAATATTTTTGAATTTGATTTGTTCACTCTCACTTTTAAAAAATTCGCAAAATAAACATCTGAATACGAGAGCAGCTGTCCTTGTGAGTTGTGACTTTTATATCCAAACCAAATATCAACAGCTGACATTTGACAAGGAAAATTACAGCTTTGAATGCGCAAAAAATTAAAATTCTTATTTCCATAGCAAAAACATTACATTAATATCTTTTAGTAGCAGTAAAAGGAAGTGTAATTGCTACAAAAATGAGCGCGACGCGCTCTTAGCCTCTTCTTGCACATATTGACATGCTTGTACCTTCACG